GCAGGTGTCGGTGATCATAGATCATCTGTGACTTCACAAAGCCTTGCTTGGACTGGTTCCTGCTCAGGGCATCTTAGATGATGGAAGGACCTTGAAGGGCTAGGGAGGCTCAAGGAGCTGGCCCCACATGAACCGGAATCTCCAGGCAGGAGCCCTTGGCTTGCAGATCCTGGGGGACGACTGGCTCTGGGCTCTCTGTGCTGGAGTGCTGAGCACAACTAGCTTCTCCCACCTTCTCTCACACCTCTTCTTCATCCAGCCATGGATTCTCTGAAATTGCCTTCCTTGCTCAGGCTGTGGGATGGATATCAAGGAGGAAGGGACCCTTGGACTGCGCATCAGAGGAGCCGAGCTTAAGTCTTGGCTCTGCTGTGTGGCCTGGGCAAGTCCCTTCGCCTCTCTGGTCCTCAGCTTCCCCTTCTGTAATGTGAAGGAATCAGACCGGATGATCACTAAGGGACCTTCCATTCTGATACCGTAAGGAAGTCTAGAAGTTCAGAAAAAGGAGAAATCAGGGCAGGCCAAGATGATCAGGAAATAATAACACTAATAGCTAATGTTTGAAAAAGATTGTATCTATTTATCTGAGAGAGAAAGAGAGAGAGAGGGAGAGCAGGGAGGAGGGGCAGAGGGAGAGGGAGAAGCAGACTCCCCACTGAGGAGGGAGCCAGTGCAGGACTGGATCCCAGGATCCTGGAATCATGACCTGAGCCGAAGGCAGACATTTAACCAATGGAACCACCCAAGCGCCCACTAATAGCTAATATTTAAGATTAATGTGTACTGGGGGTGCCTGGGTGGCTCAGTGGGTTAAAGCCTCTGCCTTCAGCTCAGGTCATGAACTCAGGGTCCTGGGATCGAGCCCCACGTCGGGCTCTCTGCTCAGCGGGGAGCCTGCTTCCTCCTCTCTCTCTGCCTGCCTATCTGCCTGCTTGTGATCTCTGTCTGTCCAATAAATAAATAAAATCTTAAAAAAAAAAAAAAGATTAACGTGTACTGGGCATGATACTCGTGGATTCCTCATCAGAACTCTAGGAGATTGGTACCCCTGCTTTGCAGATGACGTGGCTTAAGCCAACACCTAATGAGTAGCACAGGGGAATTCAAACTCAGGTCATGTCTACAGAGCTCACCTGGGGGAGACAAGATCCATGCCGGACCTCAGAAGATGGCTGAATTTGGATACACACAGGGAACCTCTCACTGGCCCACCCCTTCGATACCTAACTGCTCAGGCCCACCTCTCCTGCCCTGACAACTCTGGTCTCACTGACGTTTTGGGAACAGCACTGGGCCAGTCTCATCCTAGTGGATCAACATTTATTTAACAAATGAATGGACTTGACTCCGTGGGTCTCCTGATTGACCAAGTCTGCCGAATGCTTCCCAAGGATGGGAATTCCTCATGCCATGGGGACCTAGTCCAGGACTCTGGGCAGATTTCTGGATCCCATCAGAGACCTAAGAAATCATACTTTCTGGGGGTGAGGGCCTGAGAGGCAGCATTTTCAGTAAGCTCCTGCAGTTATCTTAGTACTTAGTAGTTTGAGAGGCCCAAGCTCCCTAACTGGGTCTTCCAGCTCCAAACTGAGCATCATCTGCTCCTATAAAGGCAGCCAAGAACTCAGTGTCATGGACTTGTGGGCAGTACCTAGCGTGCTAGTACTTCTCTGGGTCACCCACGCATCAAATCCATGACTTTTGCAAAAATGCTTTGGGTCTACCAGCTTCCACTATGGGCCAGTCCCACTGCTGTTACTAACTCTCTGTGTGATGTGAGCAGCCATTCCCTTCTCTGTCCCTCACCTTCCTCATCTGGGAAAGGGGGTCAATGCTCTTCAGCCATCTATAATCCTGGGAATACCTGTGTGCACAGAAGAAGTGCCCACTGAGGTCATTTCATTAGGAATATCATAGGTCAGGGGGTCATCCATTTGAGCGTCTGCCAGCATCATCTGATCCATGTGTCTGGGTTAGGCTGATCTCAGGTCAGTGGTTCTCAATCCTGACTGCGTGTTAGAATCACCAGAGGAGCTTTGTAAAAATACAGATGTGCAGGCCTCACCGCAGACTAATTATATCAGGATCTTGCGGGGGGGTGGGGGGGTTGTGGCCTGGGATTGGCATTGAAAGGCTCCCCCACGGGGTCCCTGGGTGGCTCAGTGGGTTGAAGCCTCTGCCTTTGGCTCGGGTCATGATCCCAGGGTCCTGGGATCGAGCCCCGCATCGGGCTCTCTGCTCAGCAGGAAGCCTGCTCCCTCCTCTCTCTCTCTCTGCCTGCCTCTCTGGCTACTTGTGATCTCTGTGAAGTAAATAAATAAAATCTTTTAAAAAAAAAGAAAGAAAGTCTCCCCCAGGTGATTCAAAGTTGGGACTCCTGCTCTCAAAGCTGCCTTTCAAATCTTTGGTTCTGATGCGGGTGGTCCTGGGACTTCACTGCTCCCCTTTTGGTTCCAGGAAAAGTGCCTTCTCAGTACCAGCGTCAGAGACCAAGAAGACAACAGGTCTTAGAATCTGGAGAGAAGAGAGCTTGAGTCCATGCACTGTGGGTCACTGGGGATTACACACAGTGGATATGAAAGGCAATATTCAACCTCAAACCAAGTCACTGCATGGAGAGGAGGTACGTGTCATTCTGGAGCATTTGAAAAAAATGGGATTCGGGAATGCATTTTGCAAAATTGTGCTTTCCAAGGAAAGGAAAGGAAATGGACTCAGGGCAGTATGTTGCAAGGTTCTTTTCAAAGGAAGAAGATCCAAGGACAAATGTTGCAAGACTGAGCTGCTAAAGGAAGTGGTTTTTTTAGCTCATTCGATCTGGAACAGAATTTAGAGATTATCTTGACCACTCCCTTGGCTGGACAGAAAGGGAAACTAAGGCCCGGGGAGGGGAAGGCAAGTGCCTAAGGTCAGGCAGGGAGTTGCGGACAGAGCTAGTATTACTAGTCTTCTCAACCACCTCCTGCCTGCTGTCTTTTTCTCTAGTCCTCTGGTGTCTGTCATTTCTGGCTTTGCTCCAGGCCCCCTGCCCACCCTCTATGCTCACATTCTTGGACAGCACCCCAGATCCCCAGATCACACGATGGACTAAATCTGTGAAGCTGGGTCTCCACCTGCCAGATAACAGGAGCCCAAACCAGCGGGAGGCCGAGGCAAGCTGGAGAGGAAGGCGCTGCATCTGATGATGTGGCCTGACCTCAGAAAGGAAGCCTGGTCACCAGGGGGAATTTCCCCGGGGGGTGAGGTCTCATGTCTATGCAAATAATGCACGCCAATGAACCTGGACCCCAGGATGGGAGAGGGGCCTGGGGAGAGAGGACCGGGAGACAGGGGAATTGGGAAGGCAAGTGACAGAGCCTGACAACAGAGCCCTGTGCCAGCCCCCTTGTATGCTGTATCTCCTTTGGTCCCTGCAATAGTCTCCTCCCTAGGAGAGCTGGGAGCCTGAGGCACAGTGAGGGGAAGATACATTTGCCCAAGAGAACGCAGCACCACCCCGAGGGGAGAGCAGGCCTGGGAGAGCCGTGATAGGAGTGGATTTGGAGCTGCTATTGCTGCTTGGCCAGAGTGACAGCAACAAGGCTAGAGTCAGAAAACTCCAGTGAAGTTTCATTTTGGGTTTCCATCTCACTCACCTGGGGAGTTTTATCCTGGGGACAGCTAAAAGGCAGATAGGGAGGTAGTGACTCTGACTTCCCTTGGGCAAATCCCTGCACTCAGGTTTTCCAAAGCCCAAAGGTGGGGTGTATGTGGCCTGGGCACTGTTAACCCTTCCACTGCTAGCTTCTAGAACACTCCTAGAAAAGGGAACAGAATGGGACGGGGGCTTCTGAAGGGAAATCTCTCCCTCTTGCCTCTTTATATCTCACTCACATTGAGCCTCACTACCCCAGGAAGACCTCCGCAGGGATTTTGTTCTTTCCGGAAGGCTGATCCCACTTATAGCCTGGTTCTCCGAGGAGCTGCTTCTGCTTCCTCTGAGCAGGAATGCCAGTAGAAGCAGGCTCAAGTCAGAGCAGTTGGGTGCAAAGTCTGCCCTCCGTAGATTCCGGTGGTTTTGTGGTTTGTTGTCCTGTGAAAGAACGTACATGAGAGCAGGCAGGTCACTGATTTCTGGAGTTGTGTGCTACACACTAAGGCTGTGTGCCAAGCAAAGTACGAGTGCATACACGCCCTGGGGAGTGTGTGTGAAAGGCAAGTCTGGGTACTTGTGCAAAGAGTTTCCTGTATGGCCGGTAGTTCATGTAGAGATGACAATATCTGTACTTCTAAGCAGTGTGTTTGGGGCCTAATCATTTGATTTTTCCCCACGTGGTCTGCAGTGTGTGTTTCTGTGCGAGTGTTAATAGCCGTGGGCTTCTTTCTGATTCTGGATATACATAGTGTGTCCCTGTGGGTATGACAGGCAGTGATTTGGAATTCTGAGTGTGTGATAAATAGTATTTATGGACTTTGAGAGGACAACAGCTGTGGGAGAGCAGTAATTACCGGCCCAGCACAGGCATGGGATCTCTAGGTCCACTCCCTGCCCTCCTGGCTTGCCTATCAGGCCATCCTGTCCCCACCTATGGCTATCTCCAGGTCAAGGTCCATGGCCATCCCAGTGTGGGGGGAAACTAGTTCCTTCTGATTTCAGTTGGCAGAACAATAGGCAGATGGTGGTAGCTGGGAGGGGTGAGACCATCCCACAGAAGGAAATACATGTTCTGGAAACTGCTACAACAGCTGGGCTCATGGACAGGGCTCATTCCCAGATGGCTCTGGTTTAGGTCTTCTTCCTTATCTAGGAGGTGGGTACAAGAAGCCTCTGGCCTCACAACTGCTTTTATTTTTTATTATTTTTTAAAAAATATTTTATTTATTTATTCGACAGACAGAGATCACAAGTAGACAGAGAGGCAGGCAGAGAGAGGAAGAAGCAGGCTCCCTGCCAAGCAGAGATCCTGATGCAGGGCTCAATCCCAGGACCCTGAGCTGAAGGCAGAGGCTTTATCCCACTGAGCCATCCAGGTGCCCCCACATCCTGCTTTTAAAAGCATTTCCTGCCTCTGGGTTCCCAGATAGTGACATCTGGCTTTGTGTATCTGCCTCTGTCTCTGATTCTCCACAGCAGGTTCCTCGGTTTCCTGCACCACCACATCTTTCTTCTCTTTTCTCCATGTCAGCTTCTTCTGCCCTGGCTCATGTCCCCATCCCTCCATTTCTGGGAAACACTGCAAGCCTGTCTGATGGTCTCCCAGCCAGTTTCCTTCTCCACGCTGGCCACAGAGACCTCTTTCTAAAGGATATCTCTACTCACACTACCCCTGTCCCTGGCACCTTTGGGGGCTGGCCAGGGCCTGGAGGGTAAGGTCCACACTGTGGCCTGGACTCTCTGTGACCCTCCCAGATGGTGTCTTCACACACTGGATATGCGATCCAAGACACCCAGGGCCACTTTCCATGGTCTCCACTTCCCACCTCTGGGCCTTTGCTCCTACTGTTGCCTCTGCCTGGAACTCCCTTTCTTCTTCGATATCTTTTATTGTTGAAGACATCTCTCCTTGTCTTTTGAGGTGCCTCTCACATGCCCCTTTTCTAAGGATCCTGTGTCCGTCCTTCTGTGGTTATCTGTGGCCTCTGCACGAGGTACTTCTTGCTCTGTCTTGGTTGTATTTTTTCTTCTTTTCCCCACTGAGCTCTTCAGGGGTAAGGGGCAGGCACAGTGTAGGGACTCACCAGAGGTTGTTGAAAGAGATTCCCCCTCCAAGTCCTCCTCTAGGAAATGGAATCCAGACTATGTATTAATACCAAATACCCAATATGGGGCCCTTATTATGTCCCAGATAGTGTGCTCAGAGGTATCCGTGCATTGCCTTATTTAATCTTCACAAAATCTGGTGCAGTAGAAACTTTTGTGATTCCCACTCTACAGATAAGGAAACCAAGGCATAGAAAGGCCAAGTGACTTAGCTACTTCTAAGTGGTTGGCTGGGTTTCCAATCCAGCCGGCCTGCCTGCTTTCATAGATTAACTGCTGAGCAGAGGGCTCAGTTAGGAACTATAATTTCCTGCTTGCCTAACTCAGCTGTAAAATGGGGAAATCTGCCTGGGGAAACCTGAGGTCTCGCAGGTCTGTTAGAAACACCGATTTGCTGCTTTGGGGTTCTGAAATTCGAGTTGGGCAACTTGACACTTCTCCTTCCCATTCTCACCGAAGTCTGGCTTCCATTAATCAAGAGAAGGAGGACAACAACATGTCTATAGTGAGCAGAGCAGGAATCAGGAGACCCAAGTACCGACCCCCAGCAATACCATGGTCACTGGGCCTTGATTTTCAAACTCGTGAAACAGGAGCGTTGGTTTGGATGAGCTCTCAGCCCATTTCCGGCTCAGTCCATGGTGTGTCGCCTGTACCTTTGGCCAGTTTGCTTCACCGCTTGGTCCCTCAGTTTCCTCATTAGGAGAATAGGGGTGATCCCGGGCACTACCGCAAAGGAAATCTGGGCTGCGGAGGAGAAGCTGCTCCTCCCGAGGTGACTGGTGGCCTCGCAAAGCTGGGGAACATTTCAGGGGGCTTCCAACAGCCAGCTGTCCTCACGCTGCTCTCCAACAGCTGAAGTGTGGCCCCAGCGGTGCCCGGAAACTCCCTCCCCGCCGGTCACTTGAGACAGTTCCTTGTGGCCCCAAAGACTGAGGTTGGAGCACCCGGGTTTAGGGGTTCTGAGAAGTGTTCCCTCGGAGGGGAAAATGCAGGCTTGGAGGCAGGAGGCGGAGCAAGGAGCTAGAGGCGGGGCGGGGGCGTGGCCGCGGGAGGGAGAGGCCAGGGTCCAGGGCAAGAGGAAGGTCAGTGCCAGAAGGTTGAGACCTGGCAGGACTGCGAGGCTCCACCTCGGTCCTCCGCTGAAGTGCCAAGTGCCCTGGGGCCAGTCGCTTCCTCTGTGGAAGTGACAGTTGTCTGTAAGTGGGAGAGGGAGGTGAGACTTTCCGAGGGCCCCTTCCACACTGAAAACATCACCACCATCCTCCTTTTCTCCCGCTTTGAGACAGCAGTGGTTTGGGCTTCTGCTTTCTCTTTCCTTTTAGTTTTAACTTAGTCCCTGCCACTTGTCTCCTTTGAACTTTGGCCAGGGAAACGACCTCTGGTGTCCCTCAACACCATGCTTTGGAGAAGGCTGGGTAGGAGGGACACTCAGGTCAGCTCTTAGGGATCAGGACTCAACAGTTTTCCGTGTTGTAGCTTTAGCATCAGGCACGTGGAGAGGCACAGGGGAGGCCTTCAGTAAGTAGAAGCTGCTCCAGTCAATGACTGTGAATGACAGAGGGAGGTGCCGGGATTCAGATAGCCGATAGCGGCCACTCCCTCCTCTGCCGCAGCTCCAAGGGAAAATGCGGTTTGTTCTGCAGGCACCTGGGTCTTAAGTGGGATCACTGCAACAGCCTCCCAACCAGCCACCCCTCCTTCACAGGTTTTTCTCAAGTGCTCTCAAGCACGAGGTTAGCCTTCCCTCCAAAGAACCTCCCTCCGCCAACCTTGTAAGAGAAAACACTGATGGCCTCTGTCATTGGATGTAAACTCCCATTTCTAATCTTATCGGCCTTGCCCTCCCAAACCCTGAGGGTCTCTGTGAATGACCCTCAGGGTCTGAGTGACCCTCTGTGAGGGTCACTGTGAAAGCTGCACAGTGAGGAATTAGAAGGGTCTCGTACATCGTAAGCGCTCCGTGAGCTCTCCTCATTCCTGGTTTCTGGGGATTCTAGAAATTCCTGGTCTCGCTGTTTGTGTGTTCCCCTTGGCCTCAGGGAGCCTCCTGCTTCTATTCCATGGGATTCCATCACTCTTTCCTTTCGACTCCAGAGCTTTTTTTCCCCTTAGCACACATTTTTAAGGCACTTTCCTGTTTGTCTTTGGATGCCTCTGTGATCTGCTGCTGAGTTCTTGACAAGAGAGCTCAGAAAACCTCGGGGTCCGCTCATCATCTCCTACAGTGGGGCCTGCCTCTGGGCTGGTGGTGCTGACAGCCGACCCCAGGCAGGGCCCGTCCCTGCTGAGTACTCGCAGGTGTCACCTCATTTCCTCCTCAAAGACTAGGAGATGTGTGGACCTGGAGGCTCACAGTTGGTTAGCAGCAAAGGTCTGCCTCCACAGCTCTTAATTGCTTGTTAATTTATCTTTCGGTAACAGTTGCGTGAAGTCGGGTAAATCCCCCCAAAAAGCTCTCAGTGGACCCTCCTACTGTTTGGGTTCACAGCCTGGTGGAGAGAAGGAAGTGGAGGACAGTCTTGCTTTCAGCATCATTATGGCAGAGATGAAGATGGGGCTCTTTACAACTGGGGGGGTCTATCCTCTCACTGTAGAGATGCCCAGTGAGGGCAGTGGCTGACCCAAACCCTGTGATCCCTGCACACCTACTCTGAACTGCCAAAATCAGTCAGGCCAGTCGGGACAGGGAGCAGTGCCCTCAGCACTCAAGGGACCGCTTCATGCCCAAGTCTCAGAGCAGAAACACAGCTCTCGGGAGGGAGACAGAGAAGCTGCAGCTGAGCCTGCTGCTTATCAGTGATCTGCACAAAGTAGAAACTTTCCACAGGCCTCCCCAGATCACGATCGCATCTGGTGCCCTTGAAGAGCTCTAAAGAGGAAGTCTGGGTTTGGTTGTAATGGATGAAGAACGCGTAGAGCAACGTCCAGGCAGCAGAGGGAGGAGAGGGGAGCCAAGAGCTGGAGGGGGCTGGGCCAGCCTGCCCAGGTGGGATGTTGGCTTACTCTCACCTGGGATTCCCAGGCAAGAGGATGAGGTTAGGACTTATTCCTGGACAGGTGCCTACCTCAGGCTGCAGGGCTAGGACAAAAACACAGATCCCCAATGAAATGTGTTTATGTGTCTATAGGTCTATTTTTATTTAAAGAGGCCAGTGGAAAGGGAATGATTTGGGGGCACATCCTACAATGTCAATGTCAGAAGAGAAAGTCAACATTCTTTTGTCCAACTCTCTCATTTTGTAGATAAGAAAGTAGAGACTCGGGGAGGGAAAGAAATTGGCCAGAAGCTAGAAAGCACATGTGTGGTGACACAAATTTGAAGGTATCCAGAGGCCTGGTTCTGTCTTTCGCACAAAAACCTGAATGGGGGTGGGTGGTGAAACAGTGAGAGGTCTGGCAATTGGCAGGAAGACATTAACCTTCTGTCCCCTCCCCTTGAACACTCAGCTGGCACCGGCCACCACACCCCATGGCTCAAAGCACACATTCCACTCATTTCACAGGCAGAGGCTCAGTATGTTTTTAGATTTGACAAAGCCCAAACCAGGGCAGTGGCTGCAGCAAGGGACGGAAGCCGGAAAGGCTGAGGTGGAAGATGGGGAGTGGAGATGAACGGAATTTGTGGCTACGGATCTTCAGCTGCTCACACGGGAGCAGGAGTGACCGTGCTGGGCCTTCAGTGGCCCATGGGAGTGGAAGCCTTCCCTAAACCCCGGCTGAAGACAAGAACCCACCCATGACCCCCCCCCCCCCACCCCTGTCCCTTCCTTCATCCCGGGAGCTGGAGTAATCAGGCTTGGTCATGGCGGCTGGTGCTGCTGACCGTTTCTCGGCAGAGGTGCTGGCCAAAGCCAGTGGCTCTAGTCCTCGCCTCCGCAGATAGCGAGCAAGGCCTTCAGGAAGTCTCCAGAGGTGTCACCCTGGGAGGAGCAGAGGAAAAGCAGTGAGTGAAAGCAGTCCTGATGGCCTCAATGCCCTTCCTTCCAGTGGCTGTCAGCCTAATATCTCCCGAAGACATAAATATGACTACGTCCCTTCTTTTTTTTTTTTTTTTTTAAAGATTTTATTTATTTATTTATTTGACAGAGATCACAAGTAGACAGAGAGGCAGGCAGAGAGAGAGAGAGAGAGAGGGAAGCAGGCTCCCTGCTGAGCAGAGAGCCTGATGCGGGACTCGATCCCAGGACCCTGAGATCATGACCTGAGCCGAAGGCAGCGGCTTAACCCACTGAGCCACCCAGGCGCCCGACTACGTCCCTTCTATGGGTTCTCGCTACCCTCAGGAAAAGGTCCAAGCTCTCAGCTTGGCTTCAAGGCCTATTGTGGGCTGGCTTCACCTCCCTGCTCCCTTGTGGGGACACCCTGGTTCATTTTCCTACTTTAATATCTACCATTCCTCTGACCCCCCGGCCCATAACACCACCCCCAAATCCTGCCTGCCCTTGGAGGCCCCCTCCTCTATGAAGTGTTCCTGCCCTCGATACTTGCCTTCCTCCTCCCACATCCACTGACACGTGTGAACGAGACTCCTCATTTGAACCAACACAATGGAGCCCTTACTGAGTGCCAGGCCCTTGCAGGAATTTACGGGAACATCGTTGGCTTTAGGATGCATCGTAATGTCAGGCCTACAGCAGAGTGCTGGGAGGCCAGACTCTCCCTCCTGTTACAGTGGCTCCTGTCATTTTTATGATACACGTTGTTTTTCTTTTCTTTTGTAATTTTTTATTTCAAAAATCACTATTATAAACAAGGTAAGTTAAAGGAAAGATCTTACAATAAAAAATTTCCCACCCCTGACACCTTTTTCCCCAAATCAAGAGAGAGGCACGGTGACTGGTGTCTGGGTTTCTAGCAACAGTCTATGCATGTGCTAACAAGTATAGGTACAGAATGTCCCTTTTCTACACACATGGACACACAGCATTCATACCCTTCTGACTTAGAGAAGATCCCAAATCAGCAGATGGAGCTGCTCATGCTTTTTCATGGTTGTATTATATCCTATCTTATGGATGTCCCACACTTTCTCTAACCAGTTCTGTCCGGAAGGCTTCTAGTCTTTTGTTCCTGCAAACAATGCTGGCATAAACACTCTCCTCCACATCGTTGGGAACACGTGTAGCTCTGTCTGTAGGATCAATTCCCACACGCAGAATCACCAAGTTCAAAGCATACGTGTTTAAAATTCTGAAAACTGCCCAACTACCCTTCAAAGATGTGCTAGCAGCGTTGGTGGTATAGTGGTGAGCATAGCTGCCTTCCAAAGATGTGCTAGCAGTGTACACCCCCACCAAGTCTGGGTGAAGCTGCTGTGAGATTTCCCACAGGCTGTCAGCCAAGGCCAGTATCAAACTTTAAGATTTTGGCCAACATTGAAGACAAAAAAAAAAAAAAAAGGACTGTGTAAGTGAGAGAAGTCAGATACAAAAGATCACATACCACGTGACTCTATTTCTATGAAATACCCAGAAAAGGCAAATCTATAGAGATAGAGAGTCACCCGATGGGTGCCTACAGCAGGGATGGAAATAAGTAAGCGGGTATAAGGGGTGAGGTATCTTAGAGGGGCACTGGAAATGTCTTAGAACTGCATTGTGGCAATGATGCATGACTCCTTCAATTTCCTAAAAAATATTAAATGCACCTTAAAATAAGGGCACTTTATGGTAGACAAATTATGTGTCAATAAAGTTATCTTTATTTTTTTAAGAAGATTTTTTTCATTTTAGGGGCGCCTGGGTGGCTCAGTCGTTAAGCATCTGCCTTCAGCTCAGGTCATGATCCGAGGGTCCTGGGATTGAGCCCCACATCGGGCTGCCTACTCAGCGGGATGCCTGCTTCTCCCTCTTCCACTCCCCCTGCTTGTGTTCCCTCTCTCTCTCTCTCTCTCTCTCTGTGTGTGTCAAATAAATAAATAAATAAATAAATCTTAAAAAAAAAAAAGATTTTTTTTCATTTTATTTGTCAGAGAGAGAGAGAGAAAGAAAGAGCGCACACAAACAGGGAGAGCAGCAGGTAGAAGGAGAAGCAGGCTCCCCACTGAGCAGGGAGCCCGATGTGGGGCTCCATCCCAGGACCCTGGGATCATGACCTGAGCTGAAGGCAGACGCTTAACCGACGGCACCACGCAGGTGTCCCAACAAAGTTGTCTTTAGAAAGCCCCCCCCGCCCATGGGCTATTTTATTTAGAAGTCCTTCCTTATAACCCTTTGAGCCACCTGGAATTTATTTTTGTATACACAGTGAAGTAGGTCTTTCATGAATCAGTAATCTCTGCTGTCAGAGAGAACTCAGAAAAAGACTGGGAATAGGAGGGATTTGTAATCCCATGCTCAGGGATGTGATGCTCCTCCCGTCCTCCCCCACTGATGTCCAGCCCCTCCCCCTTACTTCAATGGCTTGGTGGAGAGACTTGTCATATTTCTCAATGAACTCCCTTCGGATGTTGAGCAGGTCGATCTCACTCCGGGAGACCATGATCCTGGTGAGGGTCTTCTCATCTGTGCCAGCACCCTGGTGGAGCCAGGGGAGAGGGAGACAGAGAGCAGGAGGGGAAATGGGGTCGGGTTAGGCAAGAACTCCTGGGTGTCCGTCTGCTTCTCTCCTTTTCCCTCCCTAACCCCGTGGGGCATTCTGCCTCAGTCTTCCGCACGTAGTGCTGACCCAGATTCCCCTGTGCTGGGGACTGGCTAGATAGGCAAAAGCAAGCTGTTAGAGCTGAACGGTGTGCCCCCAAAATTCACATCCACCTGGAACCTTACGATGGGGCCTAATTTGGAAATAGGGTCTTCACACATGTAATGAGTTGAGGGCACACTGGATTAGGGTGGGCCCCAAATTCAACAACTCCTGTCCTTATAAGAAGGGGACACGTGGGTACACACACGGAGAAGGCCGAGTGAGGATAAAGGCAGAGCCTGAGGGACATGCCCACAAGCCAGGAAACACCAGGATTCCCGGCATCCACCAGGAGCTAGGAGAGACCCATGGGAGAGTTTCCCCCTCAGAGCTTCCAGGAGGAACCTAATGCCTTCAATTTTGACGTCTGGCCTCTTGAACCATGAGAAAATAACTCAGTCTGTGGTAATTTGTTAAAGCAGTTAAAGAGAAACGAAAAGGGGCCCCACGGATCAGGCACAGGACATGGAATGTGTGGGCAGGCAGGGCCCACTTCAGCCCCGAGGGAGCTCCGGGACACCAGCTTGGTGGGTGCTCAATACACGGCCATCATGTCTGGCCACCGAACAGCCTGCCCAGGCTCTGTTAGCTGCTGAGATACCCCTCGCTGGGCTGAGAAGGTGGCCACAGCAGCCTGGGTTTTCAGGAAGCCAGGGCTAGTCCCAGCGCCCAGCACAGGCTCCCTCTGTAATCATTGGTCACAGGAGACACTGTCACCTGCTCGACTGTGCGCTCCATGAGGACAGAGACTGGGTCTGACTCAGCCCAGTGTCCCTGGAGTAAGTTTCCCAGCCTGGGCCTTTGGGGCCATGTCACTCTTTGCTGGGGGACCTGTCCTGTACATCGTAGCATGTTTAACAGCCCCCACCACCCCCACTCTCGTCCCACCAGATGCCAGCAGTGACACTCCCCACGTGGTGGTGACCAAAATGCATCTGAACATGGCCAAAGGTTCCCCAGGGGACAAAATCACTACCCTAGAGTCAGACACAGGGCAGATGCTGCTAAGCATCAAGGGGGCAGAAACAGTGGCCAGCAGTCCTGGCCGGGGTTGGGGGGGGACCGCGCACAGCTGTGTTTGTGGGTGGGCAGAAGGACCCGAAGGGAAGGGAACAAACAAGCAAGTTTGTTTACCTTCATGGACTTGTAAAGTTTGTCAGCAAAGAAGAGAGGCTTGTTCTTGACGCTTTGAACTGGTAGGATGAGAGAGATGCAGGGAACTTGGTCAGAGGCGGTGTGCCTAGACTATGGGCTGGGCTGTCCTCTCCCACCCCCTCTCCCTCCAGCCTAGGCCTGCAGGTCACGGCCAACCCCAGGGTCTTACCCAGGGCCTGACACCTTCACTCCCCCTTTCCGATGCCTCCTCCTCTGCCTCGTCCCTCCACTTGGCTCTCACTGGGTTACAACTCCCTTCCTGCTACAGGGCTTGCAGCTAACCGAGATCAGTCAGGACTCAAAGGGAAGGAACCCCTCATTAACCCAAGGCACAGGGCCTCAAACTTCAAAGGGCCTGAGAATCACTGGAGAACCTGTTGAAAACTTGGGTTTTAGGTGCCACCCCCCAGATTCAGACCCCAGAAATATTTTGTGCACGGGCTCGCAAAGCGTGGTTCCTGGACAGCTCTAGCAGCGGCATCTGGGAACTTGTTAGAAATGCAAACTCGAATGGCCCATACCAGATGCGCTCAGACTGCAACTCTGAAGGGAGGTGACCAACCTGTCCCACTCTGCCAGGGACGCTCCTGGTTTGAATACAAACCAGCATGGTTGGGTCTCCCTACTCTGGGGCAGACTCATGTTGGAGAGTGACTGATGGACAGGAAGACCAGGCCCACGGATGACTGTCTGTTGGTGTGATTTAAGGCACTGTGCCCACCCCGGGGCTGTGTTGCACCAGAGCCTGCCCACTCCAGCTTGCCCTGGCAGCCCTGCACTCCATGCACCCCCGCCCCACATAACGCCACCTGGCTGTACCAGTCCCAGCCCCTTCCCAAGGCCTGGGGGGCTCTAGCTCTCAGGAGCTGCTGGATTTCAAGGCTCCAGGGCCCACACAGGGGTGTCTCAGGCAGCTTAAGGAGCAGGAGTCAGATACCAGTATCTGAAATCCAGAATGACTCTGGATATAAAAATGTGTCTGAGAGGAGGGCAGGGGGCAAGGGGCTGGAGATGCACACCCCAAGGGCACAGTCACCTGGGGTATGTGTCATGTACTGGCTCAGGAAGCCACACATCAACCTTCCTAACTCTCCAGGTATGGTATGCACATGTGTGTGTGTGTAAGTGCACACACATGCGTGGGGTGTGCACACCCTGGTCCTGCAGAACACTGGGCCCCTCCTTGCCCTGCCCCTGCCCTCCCCATGACCTCCCCGGGAGAGCTTGTTCCATCATCCTGCCCTGCAGCATAGAACAAGTCTTCACACTAACACCCCCCACCACATGCTGGCAGGACCCCCACAATGCTGGGGTTTACTCTCCAGTATGAGGAGCTCTGGAAGCCGCCAAGGCCACCCCTGTCCAGGGAATCTGGCCAAGTTCCCAGCACCCCCAGCCCTTTCCCAGGACATCCATCAGTTACCGATGGCCACAAACACGTCCCTGACGTCCCCGGACATCTCCTTCTTGATGGTGTGCTCCACGTCATAGTTGGTCATCTTGACAAACTCCTGGAAGACTGGCCCCAAGAGAAGCCCACAGGTGGGGGGTGAGCTTCAATTCAGAGGGTGGGGGGAGATCACCCTTGCTCCACCCACCCAGCTCCCCTCCCAGGCCATGCCCCAGGAAAGGGGAAAGGGACAGCAGTTACAGCTGCAGCCCAGGCCCAAGTGCGCTGGGTACGATTGTGGTGGGAGGGAAATTCTGACCTCGAGGCTGCCTTGGGCTCAGAGCCAAATCTGTGTCAAATCAGACGCTGCCCCAGTGTGTTACACGAGTTCTAGGAATGTGCGCTGGGGTAGCAAAAGGAGCTGGGGTCCTGGTAAAGGCTCTGCCTCCCACTGAATGACCTTTGGAGAACCCCTACCCCCTTCTGGGCTTCCCTTCCTCCTGTGTCAAGCTGGGATAGAGATTAATGTAAGTAATTATAATGAAAACATGGAAGAAGTCACCACGTGCCAGGCATTATGCTAAGTGCTTTTCATGCATTATATTTTCTGTATCTTTATTAACAATCATGTGAGGTAGAACTAAAATCCCAATTGGCAGATAAGGGAATGAGGGCACAGATATTCACTAACTAGCCTAAGGTCACACAGCTGATAAGGGGGAGATTCAAATCAAGGCAATCGGGCTCCCAAGTCCATTCTTCCAGCCACTATGCTAATGTACATTATGTATTTTACTGAAAAGTGCCAGGCAAATCCATGTTAAACCATAAATGTCCTAGTGGCCAGGGCATTTCATGAACAACTAATGTCAGGTGCGCCCTATGCATGTGGCCGCCTGGGGCTCCGAGACATGTGGCTGGTCCTGGTGCCATCAGCACGCCTTGTTGCCTTATTCCTGGCAGACATTGCCAGAGGGTCATGACACTGAACCTCTGGAGACAGCCACCACCAATCTACTGGAGTGGCCCTGGGACTGACAGGCACCAGCCAGCCTATATCCCAGGCATTCCACCTGCTTCCCTAAGGAGGTAAAGGGTGCTGGCCCGAGGCTGAGGGTCAAGAGCAGAGCCAGGGCCAGACTCCCTACCAGCCACAACATTCTGTTGCTGGGTAAGGAATGGGTGTGTGGACACCTGGCTCTTCTCGCCACAGAGAGCTGAGAGGCTCCCGTCGGATTTGGGGACCTTCCTGCCGCATTGGGAAGGGGAGGGGTTGAGACCTCACCTCTCCGGAGGTGCGGATAGCTCCGCGTGCACAGGATCGTCCTGAAACGGGTCTCCAGGGAAGTCTTGTCTCCGCTGGGTCTGTCTGCTATTTCCTGCGGATCCCAGGTTGGGGCAAGGATTTGGGAGGGAAGACACCAGAAAATCTTGGTTATTATTCACTTTCAAGTCTTTGCCTGGGGTGAGGATGGTCAGAAACTGGGTCATCCCAACTAAGGAGGCTGACATTGGCCCCTTCCTCCCTAACCCTCTATCCCCTTGTCCAGTTCTCAGGAACCCTCTGGACTGACACGGAGGTGCTCTGCACTGGGTACTTCTGATTTGGCCTCAGGGCCTTGAGACTGGGGCCCAAGGGAGCACAAACAGGCACTGGGCATGGGGACCCAGAGTCCTTCTGTTCTCAAGCCCTCCAGAAAGGCCCTCTGGGGAAGTGGGTTTGTCCAATGCAAGGAAAATGACCTAGCCAAGTGTTTCCCCAAGAGTGTAGACGGGCAAACATATAACACGCTGCATATATATGTTTCCGCGAGGATCTTCCAGCCAACCACTAGTCCCGTTTATATCGACATTAAATTTTAATTGACATTAAAAGAATTCATTTCAGATTAAAAAGGGTCCATTTAAAGAAAAATACTCAAAAGCTGGTGGTATGTAGCACGAATCATGTGGGAGGTAAGTGGCTGAAATTTGGGAAACACTTGCCTGGCCCATTTTTTACCCAGTGGGGCTCTTAAGAGGCTGTGAAAGGGAGAGAGAGAACCTACGGGCAGGCCCCCAATCACTGCCTGACTGGCCGCTCAGCCCACCCAGAAGCACAGCCACTCAGCCTTCACTCAGAGAAGCCACGAACATCCCCGTGAAGAACAGGTCACTCACCAAGATCTCAGCAGCCACCTGAGAGCAGGGAGGAGAAAGAGGAGGGAGAGAGGGAAGGCTTGAGTCAGAGGGAGAGGTGGCTCTGGGGCCCTGGGGATGGGGGGGACAGGGAAGAGGGAAAACACCTTTCCTTGATCTTTGGGCTGGAGCCCCAAATGGGGACAGGCCTGGGAATTAATTTTAAAGTGTTTGTCTGAGGGGCTGGCGAGGACACAGAATGGGGCACTCTAACTGTTGCTCCCGGCCACCTAGGGTGACTCCAGCCCTCAGCCTGCTTGTCTCCACAGAGCTGCCCAGAAGTGAGAAGAGAAGCACTGAATCCCCCACATCCTTTACTGCCAGGGGTCTGAGACCCATCATTTTACCCCCTCGTGTTACAGGCAGGAGAGACAGGGAAGCTGAGGCTGGGAGGGGAGGAGACTGGTGGGGGGCACAGCCAAAATCAGGTGGAGGAAATGCGAGCTGTCCAGTCATCTTACAAGGGTGACTCGGTCACTGCATTATGCTGAGTCCTTAGAACATGACATTGTTAGGCAAGCAGTAGTGCCTTGGAGTGTCTGGGAAAAAAATATAGCCCGCCCTGGGGGCCCCAGACTGGGTTTTGCTCTTGCCTGTCTCCCTGAAACTCTGCTGAGCCCTTGATTCTATTGGGCAGACCCCAACCATCCTCCTTATAAACTTCACAATAGCCTTACGCTTTAGAAAGCTCTTCTCATTATATACGTTGGCAACGTCTTTCAAAATTTTAAATGCACATGACATCTGATCAAGCAATGACATCACTAGGAATGTGCCTTTACTGACACATGGGCCAAAAAGCCTTTCAAGATAGCAGGAAAGGGTGTTCACTGCAGCATTCTTTGTAATAGAGGAAAAACTGGAAACTACCAATAGATGATTTGTTAAACAAACTATGGTTATCCAATAATGGAAATCCACAAAGCTATTCAAAAGAATGAGTCTACAGTGCTGAGAAGGAGAGTTTCCCCTTAAATTAAGCCAAACAAAAGCAGAGCACAGTGTTTGCAACAGTGTTCCTTTTATCTGGATAAGAAAAGGTAAAGGCACCCTCGCTCTTATGTATTTGCTGGGAAGTCATGCTATAGGCATGGTCAAGGTGCCACGGGCAGTGGTTACCTTTGAGGAGAAGGACTGGGAAAGCTTTTGCATTTGATTATTCCTGAAATTCTATGTTTCCATTTTCTCAACAAGCAAATGTGTCCTTTTGATGTTTTATTTTAATGTCCAATAGAAGTTACCGGGCCCACGGGGATCACAGGATACTTCTGGTCTTTTTTCATCCCTTTCTGTATTAAAAACCTAGCTGAAGGGACGCCTGGGTGGCTCAGAGGATTAAGCTTCTGCCTTCAGCTCAGGTCATGATCTCAGGGTCCTGGGATCGAGCCCCACATCGAGCTCTCTGCTCAGCAGGGAGCCTGCTTCCCCCTCTCTCTGCCTGCCTCTTCTTGTGTTCTCTCTCTCTCTCTGTCAAATAAATAAAAAAAATCTTTAAAAACAAAAACAAAAACAAAAAACCTAGCTGAAACTTGAGGACGTTATGGTCCGTGAAATAAGCCAGTTATAAATGGGTAGATACTGCAGGATTGCAATTACACACGGTCCCTATAGTCAGATTCAGAGAGACAAGGTAGAAGGGGTTGGTTGTTGTCAGGGGCTGGGGGAGGGGCAGTTACTGTTTAATGAGGACACAGTTTCAGTTTTATGAGAGAAAACGAGTTCTGGAGACGGATGGTGGTGATGGTTGCACAGCAAGGGGGACATGCCTGGCGTCACTAAACTGTACACTTGAAAATGGTGGAGATGGCACATTTTACGACGTGTCATGCCTTATTATGTGTTATGTGCATTTTACCACCATTTTAAAAAAGCGATGCTAAAAAATACCTGTCTTTTGTTTGTTTGTTTTTTAAAGAGAGGGATATATTTTAAAAATTAAACAAAAGGGGCACTTGGGTGGCTGAGTCAGTGAAATGTCTGACTCTTGATTTCGGCTCAGGTCATGATCTCAGGGTCATGAGATGGAGCCCTGCGTAGGGTTCTACACTGGCCGTGGAGCCAGCTTAAGATTCTCTCTCTCTCAAAAAAAAAAAAAAAAAAAAAAAAAAGGCAAATAAAAAGGAATCTAACGTGCCATCCGTCATTTATTTGGGTCAGAGGACCCCGAACATATTTGTTTTGTCAGAGCATCTGTAATGACGTGTGCAATATGATAAACGCAGTAGGCTATTAAAACAATTTTCCAAATAACACAAAGCCTTTTCCCTACTAGCCTAGCTACTTCACACAAAAAGTAACCTGGGAAGTTCCTCCAAAATCGAAACACAGTTATCCTATGACCCGGCAATTCCACTCCTATCTACCTGAGAGACATGAAAATATACGTACACGCAGAACACGGACACGCATGTTGACAGCAAGCAGCGCTGTTCTTGAGAAGTAGTCCAATGTCAAGTAGCTGATGCATGGACAAAAAAAAAGTGATGCGGCCATGCAACGAAGTATTATTTGGCAGCGGGAAGGGATGAAGTACCGATATAGGCTAAATACGAATGTTGGACACACTAAGGCAAAGAAACCAGTCATGAAGGGCCATGTATCGTATGACGCAATGTATATGAAATAGGTGAGCCTACAGAGAGAGGAAGTAGGTTAGTGATTACGCAGGGCTGGAGGGCAGAGAGGAAATGAGGAACATGTTCAGGGTCCCTTTGTGGGTGATGAGATGGTTTAAAATGGACTGGTGATGGTTGTGCACGTCTGTGATGATGCCATGAGCCACTAAGGTGTAGGCTTTCAATGGGCAGAAAACATGGTGTCTGGGTTCTAGTTCAACAAAACTGTATATTCAAAAATAACAGCCCGGGGATCGAATCATCCCAAACTGGCCACAGGTCTTCACTTCCCTCTGGTTTAGATTGTCTGTGTTATTGTCTGGAACATGGAGGGTGGAAGGGAAGCGGTCAGTGATCCCCATGGGATGGCAGGTGAACACGGCATACTCGTTCGCACGGTGGTCGCAGACCCGGACCTCCAAGAGCTCGGGGGTGTGCTAGACGTCCAGGGGAGAGTGTGGGAAGGAGGAGGCATGACACAGAAAGGACCAGGTCCCCCTGTGTTCTGCAGATTGAACGCCTTCCATTTCTGTGTACATTCTCCTTGGGCGTCCGCGGTTCACCTCTAGAAACCTAGCTAAGGAAAACGCTCCTGCGTATGAGGGGAGAGTTGGTGACTGGGAAGAGGGCTGCCCAAATAAAGCTTGGTAGTAGCTTCTTAAGTGGAATAGGACATGGCCATTAAGTGACGTTGGTTTTTAAAAATAATATGAATGGTATTCGTGGAATATTAATTTCTAACTGTTCTAAATCAGGGATCCACTTTTATATGTACACAGAGAAAGACAACTAGAGTTGTCTTTTCCAAAATATTAACAAGGGCTGTCCCTAGTAGGCTATGAATTTATGTATGTATGTATGTATTTGTTTAGGCTTATCTCTGTTTTCTAGAGTTTCTACAAAGGATAGTAGGTCTTACTTTAGAAACCGAATATTCTGACTCTGAGAAAATGAGTCCACACTAAGACTAATCCGGGTCCAGCACCTGTGAATCTGGATGGGCAGCTGAGTTGGGCAGGGCTCCCTTGTTTCTGCCCCCCAGGTTCTCTCTCACCCCTTCGGGCCTGCAAGGTGTGGATGCAGCCCACCACTGCCCTCTGCTGGCAACAACTAGAAGCACAGCCCCACAGGTAGGCCCCAGGCGGAAGTATTCCCTAGAGGATGAATTTCAGGATAGAGGATGGATTTGGGGTGAGCTCTAAGGAGGAAGCCAGGTTCAAAGCCCTCAAGGGTGCAATAAGACAGTCTGTAGTAGTACTTAATACATACATGTTGAATAAGCGAATGAAACGTGGCCTCAATGGGCCTCCCTAGGGGCTGGGTTCCCAGGCTAGCCCTTGTAAACACACCCATATGCAGCTGGAAAACCACACTTAAATGCAGCCCTGTAGCTTCGGACAGCTGCATTCTGAACTGGGGGCTGTACGACTGGAAAGCAGCAGCCCCCTGGTCTGGAGGCTGCGGGGAAATTGCTGTACTGGGTTTGGGAAGGTATCAAATTGTATTAACATAGGCTTTGGTGTGCTTGGGTTCAAATCACACCCCAGCCACCTAGAAACCATACCCTTGGATAGAGCAAGGCACAGGTGAGTGGGGACAGTGCATATGGCCTTAGGAGGGACTGCCCAACCATAATGACCCTTAGGGGATTTGGGCTTGTCTACCCTCCATGAGAAACCATCTCCAGACCTCAAGCTCCCCCGCCTAAGGGGCAGAAACAGAACAGTCAAGTGACCCAAGAAAACCCCTGACTCCCCTATTCATTTAATAACAAATATTGGCTGAGTTCTGACCATGTGACCCCTTGGGATACATCAATGAGCAAAACAAAGATCCCAGCCCTTGATGAACTCACTTTCTAGGCTCTCTCAGAACGTGTCCCTCAACCTTGGTCCCATTTCATAGGTAAGAAACTGAGAACTTTAGCACCCAGGCCCCCTTCCAGCAGGCCCCCAGACCTGCTCCCTCCGGCTCAATTCTACCTAGGCCACTGATTTGCTGTGTGACTTCCAGAAGTTATTCCCCCCTCTCTGGGCCTCCATTTTCCCCAACTGTAACATAAGGAGTTTGACCTGGCTGATCTGTTAGTCCCTTAAAGCTCTGAAGGTCTGTGGGCTCTCAGCCTACTCTTCACACAGGATGTCATAAGACCAGCATCACACTTATGAGAATCCTTCTGAAAGTTGTGGAAATACTCAGTCTCACCTCTAAGGGTAGAGAGGGGCAAGGGGTCCCTGAGTCTAAGGATCCACCAATTAAAACAGCCATGTCCCTGCCAGGAGCCTTTCCCGCTCCTGGACAGCCAAGGCCTGGCAAGACGGACATCAGCTGGAGACACTCGGAGGGGGAGGTGACGGTTCTCACCTGGGCATCTTCCCGGGCCTGGTCCCAGTCTTCTCCTGCCTCCTCACGGTTCCCCTGTAACAGGACCCGTGAGAAAGGTCAGTTGCCAAACATCCACCCTCTTTGGCCCTCAGCAGCCACAGGACCCTTGGCTCAGCCTCTCTGCCTCTCAGAACCCTCTTCCTGAGCTATAACACGGGGACAAGGATCCTGCCCTCAGAGGGAAGGCTGTGGTGAACATTACATTTGAAGGCACTCAGCCCAAGGTGACTTAGACACAGACACCCTCAATACCATGCGTCAGGCCCTGGTGTCTGGGCTGCGGGAATGCAAGCAATGGTGAAGGATACTTGCAGGTAACGTGGGTTGCCCACATGGCCTCATCCTGTCAATTGGGGACCCAGAAAGCCAGGCTGAGGGCCACCAGGGAGGGCTGCCTGGAGAAGGTGGCCCCAAGCCAGCTTTGAAAAGTAAACAGCAGGAGAAAGCCTCACACGAGCCAGTCACAGCCTCAGCAGTGGGATGGAGAAGGCAAGTAGAGAGGACACCCTTTCTTCATCAGGGGTGGGCTCCTAGCTCCCTGCCCCCCTTCCAGGCCCCTGGGGAACCAGGCGGGACCTGGGGCCATGAACTCACTCACCGTGGCCAGAGAGATAAGGATCCTCTTGAAGTGGCCAGATGTGTCTGAGCTCAGAGCATCCTCTAGGGACTTGTGATAGTCTGAAACAGAGAAATGGAGTTGTGGGCAGCTGCTGGCTAAGGACGGGGGTTGCTTCTAGAAGCTCAAGACTTGAGCCAGAGCGTATTGGCAGGGGTGGTGGGGTTGAAGGCATTTGCGGTTGGTTCTTGGTAACGTTCAGTCATGCCACTATGGACGGCGACACACTGACAACCCAGTCCATCGCCTCCGCCCCCATCCCAGCTGCGGGCTCTTGGAACCCTGACTCTCCTGCTTCGTGGTCATTCTATCTTCCCTCTCTTACCTTCCCACCCATAGGGCAGGGGCTGGACCCACCAGCTCTGGCCACAGCTCTGGCCATGTCAGTCCCCCGCTCGAAATTTCAACCACTTTAGAGCTGCTGACAAGGGGAAAAGTTTCAACATTTCTGACTAATACTGAAGATTCTTTACAATACCATCTGACCCAGCACAGGCCTTCTGAACGAGGCCCAGAGGGACTGCGCAGGCTGCCCATCCAGGAGGCTGCCTGCCTGCTCCCCAGCAGCCTGGACACGTTCTCCTCTCACTCCCCGCCTCCAGCTGGGACTCTCTGCCTGTGGCGCCCTTTCCTCAGACACAGGGCTGGGCATACCCATGGGCTTAGCAGAGCCTTGTGGCCGAGAGAGGGGAGAACGGCAGAGCTTCGGGGTGAGGTGGTGCTTCTCCCACCGCCTCCCAGCGGTGCTGGCCCCAAGGCCTCCCACACTCACCTTCCTTATAGGCCTCACAGATGGCCCGGATTTCTGCATTGGTCCGAGTAGCGAGGATTTCTATGAGAGCCTTTTCATCTGTGCCAGCTCCCTACAAGGTCAAGACCAAGAAGACTTAACCACAGCCCTGATCCCCATGCAGAGACTCGAGGGGCCCTGGCCAAGAAGGCCCCTGTTCAAGAAACCACCCAGGAGGCAAATGCTCGGATCACCAGGGCTTCCTGGATTTTTCTCTTCACCCCCAGACCAGAGACAGCACAATCAGGGCAGAACATGCTGACTTCTCAAGATTTCCAGAACCTCCCATGTGAACTGCTTTGGACCAAAAATTAAAAAGCAAAGAATATGGCCTATAGGCACGTGTATATAAAAAGGCACACACATATGTCTCTGTACATATTTACGTGTAAATGTATAAAAACAACAGAGCTCATGCTTCACAGTGTAACTGTGACTGTGGTCTCTGGGTGGGTGAAGGATCACAGGCGATTTCTCGTTTCTTTTTTTTTTCCTCTGGGTAGATTCTCTCACATACTATTTTGTCAGAAGAAAAAAGGTTCCATGCCTTAAGGGAAAAACATGCTGTATTTGTTGATATTTCCCTTTGAGGAGTGATCTAGGGACAGACCCTTTAGGTCCTCTGGACTGAGACGGTTTGGGAAACAGCCGCTCAAAAGTCCTCACGCTGGGTGAGGGGAGGGAGGCGAAGGAGATGGATAGATCGATTGATTCAAGTATCTGTTAAACACCTGCAACGTGCCAGTCACTGCACAAGCCGCTGCAGCCACAACTATAAAAAACAGGAAAGGCACGTTCACTGCCCTTAGAGGTCACTTCCCGTGGGGTGGCCAGTCCGTCGGGGCTCTGACCTGAAGGAGACCGAGGCTGATAGAGATCTTCACAGGTGCTTTATTCAAAGCAGGCATGTGGGGAGGACAGCCTGATTCCCAGAGCATCCTAAGACCCAGGGTCTAGCCCCTTCCCTAGGGCAGGGTCCGCTAGCCGGACTGCTAGCTGGGTATGCTCAGCCTCCCTCAGTTTCCCATTGTGGGAATGGGAAGGGTCGGGTCAGGTTATCTCACTGCTCCCTTCAACCTCTAAACTCGGCGTTTTCAAATCCTTTGCTTTTCTTGTCTAGGCATTTTAAAAGGACGAGAACCTCAATTTGCTTTGCCCAGGGAAATGTCTGATCTTCTCTGAGTCCTCCAGGGGCCCAAAGTCCTCGTGGTCTCAGGCTCCAGAGGCAGACAGACTTGGTCTGAATCCCAGCTGTTACCTTGTAACGCTGTGACTTTGATCAAGGGACTGAAGCTCAGAGCCAGACTTTCCCATCTGTAAAATGGGGATAAGACAATAGCCTTGCCTTGTGGGCTGGTGAGACAAGGAGCTGAGCCCAGGATGGGTCGCTAAATGCTCTGATGACAGAGAGGAGCCCCGTACAGCTGGTCCCTTGGGAAATCAAGCAGCTCTAGCAACAGCTGGCCTGGGACATCACATCCTTTCTTGCTAATCAACCGCAAGGGCAGGTCTTCAGAGTTAACAGTGTCCTTCACACTCATGACCTTGCCTGGCCCACTCCAACGCTTGAAGGGCAGGGATGATCGCTCCTGTTTCACAGCTGAAGGCATGGAAGTTTAGAAAGTGTAAGGGGCCCAACATCACAGTGAGTTCGAATACAGGCTCTGACTGCTGTTGTTTCCCTTCCAGATCCATCCTGCTTCCTCTAGCTGCTCCTTGAGATTCCCTGACACCACTGATTACTGGGCATGTCACCTCACGTCAGCCAGAGCAGAAGCCAGGACTTTGGTGGAACTTCTGGGAAGAAGGACATACATGCAAGGCACAAGCCATCCTACCACGAGGAGGAGAAAGGCTTTCTGAGAGCAAAGCCACCACAGAAGAGAGACAACCAAGGTAGGGGAGAGACAAGAGTCCATGTAACATTATTTGAGTCCCTGGATTCAGCCATGTCTAAAACCAGATGGAGTCCTGTACCTCTGTTATCCCCTTTGTAGTTCACACTAGTTGGAATTGGGCGTGGGAAGGGCTCTGCCAAGGAGCTACGGCCAACCCACACCTGGGCTTGTGGGGAGTCCCTGTGTCCCCCCAACACCCGCATACTGGACATTCCTTTGGTGCCCCCACCATACCTCCATGGCCTTCTTCAACTGCTTGGCATCGTAATGGGCTGGTGGCATCATGAGCCCTAGAATCAGCCTCGCCAGGTCTCCGGAGATCTCAGACTTCAGATCTGCCATCAAGTCCTACGAAGGACGGGGGCCGAGGTCAAGCAGGCATTACCACATGTTCCCGAGTGACCCAGGACAGGGAGGAGATATGGAATGAGGAAACGGGGGCTCCATGTGAATGCTGGGGATAGCGATAGTGGGAACCCACACCTGTCTTTGCTGAGGTTTACTATTTAAAGGATGGCAAAAACCCCAAGCAGAGGGAAGACTGGCTCTCCTTGCAGGCAAGGAGGTGGGACAGGAAAGGGTGGGAGGGCCGAAGGACATCATTCCCACCCTGGGGGAAGCTTGCCGGCTGCAAAGGCACAATAATCTCAGACATTCAGCCTTGGGGCCTTGAAGCCTCTGGAACTCGAGATTCAGAAAATGCTGTGTGAAAGCAACTCATCTCAGCCCCACGCTGAGCCATCCCCACGGGTGCTGATCCTGGGGAACTGGGGGACGGACAGAATGTGTTGCAGGCAGCCCAAAACCAATGAGGGAGACACTCCAAGAACACATGACCACAGGGGCCCCAGGACTGCCCATACTCGGGTGCTGGCTATGACAGCCAAGCCCGGGGTCTGGCTGAGGCCTCACCCGGCCGAAGTGGGACTTGAAGGTCTGGCGGATCTGCTGGCGCTGGGCGTTGCTGCGGTGCGTGATGATGTCGATGATGGTGTCCTCGTCAGTTCCTGAATCATCAAAGCCGCATGGTTCAGAGGAAGACCCGCAGCCCACTTCCCCCATCCCCTCTACGCCACAAAGAGGCCGAGTAGCTACTAAGGGATCCTTCCAACCTGCCCATCTAAATCCCATGGGGACCCCGTGTCCTTTCTCTTCAACTCCCTGGGAGCTGGAGCCCAATTCCTTGTAACCAGTGCAGGTCGACTCTGAAAACATCAGGATACCACCTCTGGACTCCTGGATGAACGCCTTTAACCTCGGACTCTGCACAGGACTCTACCTTTCAGAAGGACTCTTGCATCTGTCATCTCACAGTCCTAGATGTGCTTGGGAGCTATTATCATTCCCAAGAGACAAATGGAGAGGAGGACCAGAGGGGGAGGATTTAAGCCAAGGCCTCTGGGAGGCACTGTTAGATGGGTAGGTCGGGGGTGGGCAAAGTGATGGAAGCCAAACCCGGATACTGTCCACGATGGCCTTTCTGAGAATAGGCCATCCACCCGCAGAGTAGTTCTTCCCACTAGTTCCAAACGGGGGCCCTGAAGGGGGAACCAGTAGGGGGCACTCCCATCCCAGAATTGGGTCTGCAGCTCTTACTTTATAGTGGGGGAAATGGATGCTTTGGAGGCATTGAAGGACCTGCCCAAAGTCACAGTGAGTCAAAAGCAAAGCCAGGGGGAGAACCCAGGCCTTAAGACCTAGTACTTCCTTCTACTCCAGGACACTGCTCCTGACAGGCTGGGGACACCTTGGTCTCTAGGAAGGGCTCATGCCCAGTTCCTTGCAAACCCCCAAACTCCCCTCCTGCCTAGACTCATGGAGCCAGGACCCTCCTCGTTTTGTGGATCCTAGTTTAGGCCTCCGCTCTCACTCCTGCCCTGCCCAGCCCACTGCCCAGCCTGCCACACCTGCTGCCCCAGAGGCCCACCCACCCCTTTCTGGTCCCCTTACCGAGTCCCTTCATGGCCTTCCGCAATGCTTTGGCGTCAGCGTCAGGGTTGAAGTTGTCGACTGGACGCACGGTTCCCTTCAGCTGCGAGAAGCAGAAAGAGCCTCAGCAGGTGTCCGGAGGCCCCCCCGGGGGCCAAGCCAAGAGAGGAGCATGCAAGAGAGGGGAAGCTTTCCCCATGAGCTCCAAACCAAGCAGCTTCGGGGGAGAGGCAGGGGTGAAGGCACAGCAGACAGACCCCTGCCCTAGAGCTGAGAAAGGGAGAGGGGACGAGAGACAGACCCAGGCCTGGGAGCAGGGCAAGTGCTGGTCAAGCCAGCTTCCTGCCCCAGGAGTCAGCTCTGTCCTAGCTGCACTGGGGCCTTCCCAGTCCCTGTCGGAATCCCGCCCTGTCCCCAAGGCCCTTCTGCCTCTTTAAGAGCCCCTTCCCCTGAAAAGGCAACCAAAATGTCTGAAATACCAGAACAGAATCTCCCAAATTCAGTCACTCCTAAGTGGGGTTCTCAGTGCTTCCCTATTTGCATATACCCTGTTCTATTTCCCAATATTTCTACTGAATTCAACCTCTTTTCTGTTTTACTTAAATGCATTCACTTTTAAGTGTATTTAAATACTCCTGAAGGGCAAGGAGTTTTGTTCATTTCGTTCTTGGATGGATCCCGAGTGTCTACAACAGAAGTAAGCACTCAAAAAATATTTGCTACGTGGATTAATGAATGAAAAGAATTTTGTATCACTATCATAAAGAGAAAATTGGTCTTATGTGCCATCGACGGATGATAACCCATGAAAATAAATGTAATAAAGAGAAAAAACTGTCTTGTCAAATATCACCAAATTTAACCAGATGCCATTGCTTGTCAAAAGCTCTGAACTTGAAGCTAGCTCTCTCAGCTCAGTTTGTGAAAAAGGAAAGCCAGCGAGGGTGGCACAAAGCCAGACTCTCCCTCTGACAGAATGAGGAGGGAGGCTGGGACTGAAAAGTCGCTCTCTCACTATATGAGGTTTGGTGTTACCAAATCCCCCCGAGGCTCCCCTCACCTGAACGAATTCATTTCTTATGTAATTTAAGGTCACCTGCAATGACACTTCTTGCCTTGCAATTTGGGAAATGCTGTTCTAGAACATCAGCACTCAAGAGCCCTTGGAAAGCACTAAGTTTGCCGTGTCTAACACCTCGCTCTGAAGATGGAGACAGAGGCCAGGAGAGGTAGGGACCTGCCAAAAATGGCTCCATGAGTAACAGAGAGAATGCAACGTGCCAAATATTTTCACGTGGACCAAGGGCTACTAGTCCCTGTAATGGTTTGTCCCAAGTACGTCCGCGGACCCTGGGTCTCAGGATGGTCAGAACAACCTCGAGTCACCCAGCGCACTGAGGGGTGACTGATCATCTGGAAGCCTCCAGAGGCCAACTGTCTGACGCAGGATGACACAGGCCCATCCACAGAACCAGACATGTCTCCGTTCAGCAAGCCCTGTTAGTACTCAGCGGGCCCCCAACGCTCCCCTGTGTGTTAGAAGTTAGGGCAGGAATCAGAGGCCCACAGCAGAGTGCCCGCCCACCAAACTCATCACTTCTGGAAGACAAAGAAGCTTCAGATGTGAGAACCGATGTCTCAGGTTGGCCGCCAGGGGGCAGCTGGGTGCCAACCAGAGCAGCGGGAAGGTGCGAGCAGAAGACCAGAAGCTTGTGGTCAAGAGGTCAAGCAGGAGGTGGGGAGGGTCTGACCTCTACTCGGGCCACTGCACTAAGCTCCCACATCTGATAGGCCACCTGCGCTGCCTCCGGGAAGAACTGGCCAGCAGCACTGGAATGGAGGGGGTTGGGGAGAGGATAGAAGGGAAGGTCATCGTGGGCAAGACCACACACGCAGCACACAGCCATGTATGCACACGCACACGGACACACACACACACACACACACACACATAGCCACACTTGAAGTGAATCCGTCTCGCTTTACCGCCTATCAAGCCTCATCCATTCAGAGCCTCCCCTCCATTTTTAGAAACCTTCTACCTTCTCCTGAGAACCCCTGCAACGCTCAGTCTGCCCAGCAGCCTCCTAGGCTCCAAGTGCCTAGCAGGAGAGGATTTCTTGAATGCTCTGTCCTCCCCTTTCTCCCTCATGATTTGAGTGATTTTTACCCAACTCTCCCCTCTCAAACAAACTCAGTTACCAGCTTATGGCCACGTCCCCTCAATTTCTCCTCCTGCAAACCACCTGGGCTTACAAGATGCTGAGTAAATGTCTGCGGAGCTGAAATCAGCCCCCAAGGCACTTGTCAAAGGTTAACAGAAGGTTCTCGTATCCCTTACTTCACTGGATCCTTATAAGCTCTGGGAGAAGAAGTCAGAGGACCTATGGCTCCCCTCCTAGTCCACAAATCTGGTCAAGTCACGCTCAGTGTAGTCTCTCCCACGGCTCCCAATACCCCAGGAGAGGTTCTTCTGCCAGCAGGAGGCCCCCAGGCCCTGCCCACCTCTCAGCCTCTTCTCTTCTCAGCCCCTGCAAAAGTGTGGCATCAGGTACAGAAATGAACCAGGCTGAACCTGGTGTCTCTAGGTCTTTCCTCCACCCACTCTCCTTCAGAGCCTCTCTGTGTCACCTCCTCCTCCTTATGGTCTTCCTCAGGCCTCTGCTTCTCTACCCCCTGTCTGGGAGAGTGCCCCGATCTGTGCGTTCCCAGGCACAGAGACTTTCCCTATCCTGGGATGGCCCCACATGTAGGCCCTGGTCCGGATGCCTCACCGGGCTGGGGGCTTCACCAGGGCTTCCCTGCCAAGAGGCCTGTCCCAGAACGTACTGGGTACGAACGTGCTGAATAAAGGAGCAGGCAGACCAGACACCTGTATTTTTTCCATCAAATAGACGATGAAATGGGAAGCAGTTATGAGGTAGCGGGGCTTGGACCCCCCTATTCTGATTCCCAGTCCACACCCCCACGGGAGCAGAGAGCCCCACTCCTCCCCCAGTCTGGGAGAGCACATTCCTGTCACACACACTCACAGAATTTCACCAGGCACTGAGGAATCCCCAAGCTCTTCCAGTCCATGCATCCGTCAGGATGAGGGCCAGGGGAGCCCGGCCTGCCACCGCCCCCCTCCCCAGGCCCCTCCCTCCAGCCCGGGGTCCGGGGGCCACTTACTCATCATCACCCCCACAGAGTTTCAGCAGAGCCTTCTTGTAATCGCCAGATGTGTCATTCTGGGGAGAAGCGAGACAGAGAAAGGTGACCTCTCACCCTTGGGCTCCCCTCGGATAAGGAGGGGAGGTTGTGCAGAGCCCAAAATCGGGGAAGGCTGAACACTTATTTGTGGCAACCCTGACTCTCCTCTGGTCTGGGGTGGCTGAGACCACCAAGCAGTGGTGTGCTGGCAAGTCCTGAACAACCAGCTCTCAGGGAGGGGAGCAGGTTAAAAAGCCCTAATTTCTAACATCTGCCTATTTCTGTGGTGTAAACACGTCCAACAGGGATACTTTCAAGCCACCCATAGGATTTCACTGAACGTGGAGCCCATGGGAGCCGGCCCCAGCACACCTCTACCCTCAGACCATCCCCAATCCAGCACCCCCATGTGAAATAGTCCATGGAAATAGGGTTCCATGAACCAAAACACTGGGAAACGCCAAACCCAGACCAATGGATGTAGCGTATTTTATGCCCCTCTCAGAGCTTCATGATGGATTTAACCAATTAAAGGCTGTGAGAAGTTCTGAAGGCAACAGACTGCCTTGTCTTTACTTTCACTAGCTTTTTCCAAACATTTCCCATGAACCATTGTTGCATGTAATATCTATAACACTCGGGGAACATAGCTGGAACTCAGAAAGCTTTATCTCACTAACCCCCCCCCCCCCCAAAAAAGAAAAATACCCAACCCTCTATGTGTCTCTTGGCTGAGTGTCAGGGGCTGGACACTGCAGTCATCACAGATCACGTGGCCTGGGGCCAAGAGTTCTACCCTGACTTCTGCAGCCTGAGCTCACTGTCCTTGGGATGAAGTCCTCATCCTTAACTCAGCCCACGTGCCCTTCCTGACCCAGGTCCGCCTTCCTTTTGAGCTTCCTGACTCATAAGCACCATCAGACATTTGCTTCTCTGTTGAATTGTCTCACGTGCCCTGAACGTGCCACGAGGCGGGGGCTCCTGGGATTCCCAAGAGACTCTCAGCTCCCTGGGACCATTCTTTCCCCCTAGGAGTGGTTCCCAAGCCCTCCACTCCTCTCCGTACCCTGTTGGCTCCGCTCACCTTGATCATGCTATACAGGGACTTCTCATACTTGGTCCGGAATATCTCCCGAATGTCAAGCATGTCCAACTCACTGCGGGAGACCATGATGCGGATAAGGGTGTTGTCCCGAGTCCCCAGGCCCTGGAAGACAAGTGGGTTCGGGGGACAGGAACCTGAGAGGAGGCCAGACTGGTGACAGCCCCAGCTGGTTGAAAAATACAATTTTTGTGCTAAAACATTAAAATTAAGAACAAAAGAAACAAAACACTGCCTTTCCCCTGAAGCTCCCTATGTGTCCCTCTTGCTTTGATTTCCTTCCTCCTTTCATACGTCAGGTCCATCCTTGGTTTCCTTTACAATTTTACCGTAACTGTATAACTCTAAGTACAGATTGTTTATGTTTAGATATCTTGGAACACTATAAACATACCACTTTGCATTTATTTCTTTTGCTACACCTGATGGACACTGGGTTGTTTCTAAATTTTTTCCTAGAAAAAATTTAGAAAAAACTGCCACATTCTTTGGAATGCATTTACACAGGAACCTTCTCTCCCGGGCTGAGCTGCCCGACCTCCCTCTGAAAGAGAACAGGCCATATTTCCCTTGCCCTTGTGGGATGGCCGACTGACGCCATGAAGGCCTGAGTTCCTGGGCCTTGGGTCTGTGGCCTCTGCATTCATGTGTCCTGTTGTGCTACAGAACTATCATCAGTCTCTGTGTGTCCTGTGGGCAAAACAGTGGGAATCACTGTTCTCATGTACACGCTCAGGGTGGAATCGCTGGGTCACGGGGTAAACATTGCGAGTCTTAGCAGACAATGACAAGTATCTTCAAAGTGGCCTAATCTACATCCACTGTATAGAAACATTCTGGTCAATTAATATTTTTGAAACATGTGGGTTTCTAGCTCCTCTGGCTGGATGAGTCAAGTGCGAGCTGTCATAACACCCTGTTATCAATCATGAGGTGGGAGCAGGCATCTGGGTGGGCAGGTGTGCGACTGGACCTCGACCCAAGCTCGGGCGGGAGCTCGCCTGGATAAAGGGCCGTCACTCTCTCCTGTAGTCAATCCCCTGAGGGCTCTCTTTGGCCAGTGGGCCCTACAGACTTGTTAGAGTGTCTCTACAGTCCCATGGGGATGGGCGGAGACCCTCCCACAAGCTCCTTCCCAACGATCCCCCCCCACCCACACACACACCTTCATGGCTTTGAAGAGCCTTTCCGCAAAATACTCTGGAGTGCTCCGGATACATTTCACTGGGAAGAGGGAAGGAGAGGCGGAGTTACTCTGGCTGTCTCGGAATGGGTTGGGGTGGCCTGACCCCTTCTTTATTCCTACTCCTTGGGGACCATGAAGGGCAAACCCAGGACGAACCCAGGCTCCTGATAACCCAAGGCCCCACCCCCTTTTAACACAAACCCAGAACATCGAGAAATCAGGAACCAGGCCGGTGAAATGTGGGCTGTGCCTCTTAAAGACGCACTTCGTCTTTCTAGTCCGCTGTGGGGCTGGCAGGGAGCAGGCCCAGGTTGGGGGCAGCACCTGCGGTGGAGCTGGGAGAGGTGGAACTGGGGGAGAGGTAGAGCTAGGAGAGGTGGAGCTGGGAGAGGTGTTTCTGTACGTCCTGCTGCGGCCACAAGGGTATCAGCAGCGTCACTTTGGATCCTGCTAGGAGAGCAGGCCAGAACCTGACTGCCTGAAGCAGAGTGGGTTGGGGACAGCTCCGGGCAGGAGGATGAGGCTGGGGCTAGAGTTCTCCCCCAGGAAACATGCACACAATCCTCCCCAGACCCGGGCAGGCTGCCTCTTACCATGTCGAGCTTCTGAGGGCCTCTGGGTCAGGCAGGGCCTCACCCACACCCCCATTTATCAGATGAGGGAACTGAAGTCCAGAGAGGACAGGAGACTTGTCTCAAGTCAAGAGCAGATTTGGGAGAAGTCCTGGGTTGGAATCTTGAGTCTACCAACTGACTAGTCATATCCTGGTGTACCCTGTGCCTATGATACCCCAGTCATGACTGAACTACCCCTTGGCAAGTGACATAGCCTCTGCGAGATATGGTCTCCTTATCTGTGAAATGGAGATCATGCCCCCCTCCTGGGTCTTTTTTCAAGATTAAACACTCTACGCAGCACCCAGCACATGGTACGGGCCCCATACAAGTCTGCTCTCCTGCTGGTTCTTCCCCCGAGCCTGGGCTCACCGCTCTATCTCGCCCCGCCCGCTCTATCTCACCGGAGGGAGTGGCAGGAAGTCAGCCCCCCGAGGCTCCACTCCCTGCCTCCCCTACTTCATGTGGCCTTGGCCAACCCGCAGAATTCACTGCCCGCCCGATTTTCTCCTTCCTGCCTCCAGATCATATAATCCCTCTTCTCCATTCTTGGCCTCTTGTTCCTGGGCCAGAATCCCAGAATCCCCCAAAGCCCCTGGGAATGCAAGGTCAGGACATACCCACAGCCAGCATCAGCTTCTCGAAGTCCCCAGACAGCTCTCCTCGGATGCTGGCTTCGATTGGCTTCCCAGTGGTCTTCAGATACTCATCAAACACTGAGTCAGAGAGACAGGGGTGTTGAGAGTGCCCCAGAAGGCAGGAGAAGCCAGGACCTCAGAAGGGGAGGCCAGGACCAGAGTGCCCTCCATGAAGGCAGGGCTGGTCTTTGAGGAGCTGGCCAGCAGGGAAGTCAAGCACACCACCAGCCACTGTGCAGCTAGGCCGTGTATGACGTGAGGGACTTATGTGTACCTCACACTCCAACAGGAGGACTGGACTGGTACTCAGCTGAGAAGGTTGAGCATCCTGTCAATGACTTTGCTGAGCGACTACACAAACCACCATCTAATAAAATCAGGACTAGTACTTGCATTGTAGGTGAAGTAACTATCCTGCTCTATTAGTAGCAAAGGAAAAAAGAAAGGAATCCTTGGCACAACCTCAGGGGAGCAGCTGTAGGTCCTTGTTCTCTGGAACTTACCCAACCGAAGATGCTGCTTGCTGCGATTTCCCAAAATGTAAATGAACTGGGCTTCATCTGTTCCCCATTTCAGTTCTCCTGCCTCGTACAGGTCCTGAAGGGGAAGAGGAAGGACTTCATGGAAAGGAGACAGAACTTGCTGGCCAAGCAAATCAACTGCTGCTGGATCCCTGAACATATGAGTAACTGGTAGCCTCAGGACCTTTGCATACACCTGTATACCCTCCTTTCTTTCTGGGGAAACTCCGACTCAACTTTCAAGGCCCAGATTAAATGTCCCATTTGTTCTTGAAGCACTTCCTGATGTCTCCAAGGTGGAGTTCTCTTTCTTCCCCTCCTTCCCTCTTCTAGGCTCCCATAGTTTTCTACTTCTCTATTGCTTTGCTCCACTGTATATTATAACAACTTCTTTATAAGCCTGTCTTCCCACTATGGCATGGGCTCCTCAGACAGGGACTATGTCTTAGCATTCTCTGTATCTACCCTTGCAGTGTTGCAGGCACACAGTGGGGCTCAAAACACTTTGAACGTAATGCTATATCCCTAGAGACGGTGTTTGATTAATATATGCCTTTCTCTCCTGGTATTGTCTGATTTTAATCAGTAGTGATCCCCCAGTGCTTGGCAGAGTGCCTGGCACATAGTAGGTATTCAACACATATTAGTTAACTGAATTAATAAAGGAACAAATGACAAAAGCCCCAAAATATATCTCACCAACTTTACATATGTTGCGTACCTTTGAAAGACAATTTAAGTCCTTTCTTCAACAAAGCACCGTATAAAACGCTGGCCATGAGTCAGTTATTTCTGGTATTTGATGCAAATTACTCGGCCCCCAGCCCTTCCCCGGATCCCCAAGCAACTAGCTCTCGGGGTTCCCTTGCTGTGCCCCAAGAGCCCCTGGTCAGTGCTGGTTTACCTGGACGTCCTGCTGTACCAAGTCCTCGCTCACAACATTGTCCTCCTCCCTGGTTCCCTGGGCAGAAACACAGGGACACGGGGTTCACATACCATGGCCAGGGAGATGGGAGTGGTGTGGATACCAGGGGGAGACCAGGACAGTAGAGAAAGTGTGGTGGCCCAGGCAGGTCTTGGAGCAGTGACTTCAGCTGCCACTGCATCAAGACCGAAGCATCTATTTTGTGGGGAATCATAGGGTTTGTTGGCTTTTCCCTTCATCCTCGGAGTTGAGACCAAAGAGGGGAGTCCTGAGAATGACCAAGGTCCCTCTAGGTGCCCCATCCCAGAGCCAGCCAGAGCCTGTACTGAGAACAGGACCCCATACAGGTCCTGGTGTGGCTCACAATGCCCGTGGAAAATGATACTACAGGGCTAAAAAGACTGCACACCGGCGTTCTACTGGGGGCTCACAGACCTTTACCCAGAAAACTCAGCAGGGAGGATCTGAGACTTGGGCCCTGAGATCCGAGGTCACAAGCAGTGAAGATACCCAATGCTATTGGTTTTTCTGCTGCTCCGCCCAGGCTCTGTGCCCCATCCAACAAAGGAACTCGCAGGGGGTGGGGCCAGCCCAAGTGGGCATCGAGCTTCCATGGGCGCAGGTCAGGCCTACGCTTCTCTCCTCCTCCCCTGGACTATGAATCTCAGGATCTCAAAGCCCCGGGCTCTCCTGGGGACAGAGCTCCAGAAGACAGAGCCCGCACATTCACAATCCATGCTGTGGCACTGCCCACTTGGTGTTAGATGTTGAGAAGGAGCTGGAACTCTCCAGAGCAAACGGCTTTGAACTTGGGGGCAAAGGTCACACTTGCCCATTCCTGCTATTTCCGGTAATCCCCCAGCTGCTTACTCTGGGATATGGGTTATTATGGCAATGGAGAAAACGACCTGGGAGCAGCTGGGGTCAACTGTGTATGGGAGTAGAGGAAGTGAAAGAAACAAAGAAGTGTTTTAATTTCTATATAAAGCTTCCCACAAGCGTGGTCCTCGGCCCTGGGCTTGAAACTGCTCAGTGTGAGAATTTCCGGGGAGCCGGACAGGTGAAGGGGAAGCAGCGGGGTGGGTCATGTTTTCCAGCCCCCTGCAGCCATACAAAATGCAGGCCTGCTGGTGCCAGAACTTTCCATTATTCTAAAGGATGGAGAAATCTGGCTTTTGAGCAAAAACTCCCCATTTTTAAATGTTAGCAACTAACTCAAATATTAAAAAAAAACATTGTGTAGGAAAACCAAGGAGAAAAAAAAAACAGCTTGGCAAATGGAAACCAGTCTGCAGCCCTGACTTCATGGTCCTTTTTATGTCTCTGGGAATGGGAGGGAGGAGCCACAGGGCTTGGCTGTGGGAGACGCAGTGCAGGCAGCCCCAGAAATGCCACATCCCTGCAGGTGACTCGTGGACGTGCCAGCCGTGGTAGCCGTGGCAGCCGTGGCTGGGGAAGCAATGGCGGGAGGGAGGCCTGGAGAGGAGGGGGAGGGGTGGGTGTGAAGAGAGGATGGAGGTCACAGTGGAAGATTTTCCTGGGCAGATGAGAGCAGAGATGTGTGCAAAGGGATATGTGGGTCACCTGCCTGCGCAAGCCACACAGCAAACCCCTCCATGCTCGGATTCTACACCCAGGGGAGAGAGAGAAAACATCTCAAGTTCAAGGATAAATGGGCAGTTGGGGAGTAGCCACAGCTGAGGAGGACTTTATACCCGAGGAGCCACCAAGGAACCCCTCACAGGCCACCCTGTCTGGGGCAAGAGGCAGAAGGTACCCACGGCCCTCTCCCCGCACTCTGGTAGGGAACTTCCGGGAGGACCCCGATGTGGACCAACCTGGAGCAGGACCACGAGCATCTTCTGGAAGTGGCCAGAGGTGTCACCAATGATGTCAGCCTCCAGGTCTCTCTCATAGGCTGCAGGGAAGGAACACAAGCTCTAGTCCAATCCCTGTGAGACCTAAGGGATCCAGGATAAAGGTGCCTGTTGCCCACAGTATGATCCCAGCATCCAGGCTCCAGGTTGTCACGGAAAGACCCAACACAGGTTGGGTCTCTCTCTCACAGGTTTCTGCACTGACCCCTGACACACTGAGATGGAACCTGTCTACTTCCTCTATCCACACCTGTGCCATCCTACTCCAGGTACTGTGGTCACCTACCTGGACAGTGGCTACAGCCTTCTAACTATTTCCCCTGCTTCTGTTCCCCCTCCCTCTCCAATCGACAGCAACAAGGGTGACTCGTAAAGCCCTCTCCGATCACAGGCTCCCCTGCTTCCCGCTAGACTTGGAATCAAGCATCGCCTCTTTCTCTTGGGCTGCAAGGCCTTGTGTGACCCTGCCGTGCCCTTTATCACTCTGGCCTCACACTAGCTACTAGGCTCATTTCTGCCCTAGGGCCTTTGGGCTTGCCATTCCCTCTGCCTGCCAGGATCTTCTCTCTACTCCTTACACAACTGACTCCTCATTCCCTCCCAACACACTTATCTGGAGAAGGTCCTCCAGAATTAAAGTCTGATTCTTGTTACTTCATTGTGTAACAATGTGTTATCATCGTGTTGACCTGCGTATTGTCCGTATCCCTTGTTACTTCACCAATCTGTACATTCGAAGAAGCAGGGACTACATGGGTTCTGCCCACCACCATATTCTGAGAACCTAGAACAGTGCACAGAGCAGCTATTTCTGACAAGGAGAAATGACAGTTAGATCAGAGGGCAAGAGGAAAGATGGTGGATGGGTAGCCTTAGCGTCCCTACACTTGGAATTACCCCCATTTCATAGCTAAGTCCTGAATGGCCCCTCCTGCCCATCTCACCATCTTTGTATGCTGCCACCAGCTGGTGGATCTGCTCATTGGTCCGAGAAGCCAAGATCTCAATGAGACACTTCTCATCGGTGCCGATACCCTGGGAGAACAGAAGGGACATCGGAGTCAGGGTTGGGATAGGACGCTACCAGCAACCATGGGTTGGCTTCCTAGAGTGGCCAGAGCTATGACACTCCCAACACTCAGGGTGCCCCTACCACAGCTCTTGGGCACCTGACTGGAGCTGCTGCCCTGAGACTCAGAAGACATAGGTTCTAGTCCTGCCTCTGCCAGCAGCTTGCTTTGACCTTTTGTTAAGAAACGTCTTTCTGGGCCCCCGTTTTCTCATCTGTGAAATGGAAATGATGCCAGTGGCTCTGCCAAACTCACAAGGAGATTGAAAAGGCGATCTCTCATGTTGCTAAACTTACCAATATGGCAAGTAAATTCATGTTGAACAGTCATCTGGGGCAAAGCTCACGGCACTTTACAGACAATAAAGTGCAGGTACACTGAAGGGCTTTGCTGTCTCCCCACGTGCTAGGGAGCCACCCTCTCCTTCAACCAGAGCTAGCTGTGCTTCCTGACCTGAACACACTCCCACCACCTCTGCTGACCTCTTAGTCAGCCTGGAAGGACCTTCCCACTCTGATCAACCAAATCCTCCCCGGGGCTTCTGGGCCCGACTTGATCTCTCATCTTCTGTGACGGCCTCTTGAGCCACCTGGGGCCTGCCCTCCTGCCCTCCTTTAGTATGCCCTTGGCCTTGGGGTGTTGGGCACAATTTGTCGTTATGCCCCTGTATCCTGCTTCCTCAGGGCTGGAAGCTGCTGCATTGGGGTCTGGGCCAAGGACCCACTTTATGAGGTCTGTCTCCCACCAACATCTGTCCCACATTGGCCATCTGGAGGAGACCATGGCACCCCTCTGGGACAGGGTTTGAGCCTCTTACAGCAGCGCTCTGTGAGTACTTGCTGCAGAGACCAGAATCTGCCCCACACATCACACCCCCACTCACAACACACACGTAGACCCATGCTTCCTTACCGAGATGGCGTCTTTAATTTCCTTGGCATCACAATAGGCAAGTGGCCTCATGAGACCCACAATCAGTCGTTCAAACTTTCCCGTCAGCTCATACTTCAAGTCAGCAATGAGGTCCTGGGTCAGGGGTCAGGGGTGGGGAGGGAGGAGGAGATGAAGGAGGAAGGGGAGGAGCGCTTAGGATAAGAACTACATTTAAAGAGCACCTGCTCTGTAAGGCACCAGGCTACGTAAGACCATGGTAGTGTCAGTCTGGGAGGTATGGGCTCTCATCAATCCTAAGAAATGGGCGTAGAGACTTCAGGGAAATTGCCCAAAGCTACGTAGTGAGCAGATGGCGTTGCAGGAGTCAAGCCCATGGTACCGGGCCTCTCCCCCCAGCACTGTTTTTTCCCTTGCTTATGGGGTGTCTCTCCCACCATCTGGAAATCCACGGGGTGCACACCTCGCAGATCCCATTCACCGGCAGGCACCAGCACCCAGCCAGTGCTCAAGCACACAGCAAATACCATGGATGTATCTGTGGCTGAATGGGGCCTGGCTAGCACGGAGGCTGAAGGAGGATACAACAGGAGAGACCCTGAATGAACGCACAGCCCCGCCCCACCTGCCCGGCGGTCGCCATGGTTACCTTGCCATAGAGGGACTTGTAGCTCTGACAGATCTCCTGTCGCTGTCTGTTGCTCCGAGAAGTGATGAGCTCCAGGATGGCCTCCTTGTCACTGCCTGGAAGACAGGAGAGCACTGGTGACCCTCCCCCAACCAGCCTCCAGGAAGCCCACCAGGACTGCTCCTGCCGTCCTCAGCACCAGCCTTCTCTGTTCATCAGGCAGGGGTGTCGGTGGGGGAGGATCTATGGAGACCTGTCAAGCCCCGACTGAGAAGGATCACAGCACCCACAGCATTTGGGCTCAGAGGGCCTGTGATCCGGCCCCTCATCAGACCTGTTAGGAAAATGAGGCCCAGAGAGTAGCAAGGACTCACTCCAACTTTCACAGTGAGACCTGGCTTAGAAAACCCAGGCATCTTAACACCCAAGATAGGGTTCTTTCAACAACAAGAAAAATAAAAGAGAATCATCAGCACCAAGCTCGGGGTAGCAGTTTCCCCCAAGGGGAAGGCAGGGCTAGAAGCTTCCGGAGGGGACCTCCCAAGGAGCTTTCAACTCCATGAGGAAGCACAGGCTAGTGGTCAAGTTGCATGGCAGGCCTGCGGGGGAAGCTTCAATTATTCCTTAGACCTTTGGGTTGGTCTGGAATATTTCATTAGAAAATGATGAAAAATAGTAAAAACGGGAGACAAAAGAATGAGTGAGCCCATCTCCACACCTTACCCCCACCCTCGCCTCCAGACAGGCTCTGGGCTGGGCTCCCATGGGGGAACGCCACCACGCTGGTGACCAAGCACCCACCAAAGCCCTTCATGGCGGTGTACAGGGCCTCAGCATCCTGGCCAGGGTCAAAGCCTGGGAAATCGTGAATGGAGCCACGGTACTTGGCACCCTGGGGAGAGAAAAAGCAGAAGGTAAACCGCTGACCTTGGCCTTAAACGGGGCTCCCAGCCCCAACCCCCCGATCACACTCTCAGCCCTGGCCATAGGCAAAGTCTAGGCTGAGTTCCCTTCCACCAAAATTAAGCCCTGACTACAGGAAGCCCAGGCAAGGGTAGGGACGGCTCTCCCTGGACCTCCCGCCACAGCCCATCCCGAGGACTGTGCCCTTGCCCTGTGGGACGGTGGCTCCGTCCAGCCCACAGCACAGTACAAGCTTCCCAGGACCCAGGAGGGAGGAGAAAGCCAGGCTGAGTGCAAGGGGTAGGAATGGTCCCTGTAAGAGTAACAGGAGCTCCCCATATTTTTATGGCACTTTATAGTCTACAAAGCCCTTTCGCCTCCTTTACTGGGAGTCCAGCTTGCAGCAGCGCTTAATATCATCTGTATCACAAAAACACAGAAACTGAGCCCAAAGAAGGAAAGCGTCTTGCTGAGGGCCCCACAGAGCCCAGATCTCGGCCCAGTCCCTTCTGTTCTCCAGCTCCAGCAACCTTGCAGCCACTGGCATCTGAGGGTGAGGTCATGGCCCAAGGGAAGCCCGTAGCCACCCTCAGAATCGGTGCCAAGAAAAGATAATGCCCCTTGGGCCCAGTAAACTGAGCTGGCAGCTGGCATCTGAGGACAAGCTGGCTGGGTCTTCAGGGTGAAAGGGAGGAGAGGCAGGGCCAGAGTATCTCAGACATTGAATCTGAATGCACAATGGGCTGGTTCACAGAGAAGTCAGATGTGGGTCAGCTACATGGCCCCAGAGAAGCATGGGGCTGAGAGAGGGGCTGAGAGCTAGGAGGGCTGGGGATGCCAGAGCCCGTGGCACGGTGAGAGGGTGCTCAGCCTGGGCCAGGCCCAATGCAAAGAGCAGAAGATTCAGGAAGAAAGAAGACCTGCCCCTGTCTTTCATGAGCTTTGGACCCAGAGGAGAGAGGCAAGTACACAAATCAGCATAGAACTCATCATCGATACCCTAAGACGGAGGCAGGGTGATTTGGGAAAACAGTGTGGAGGCCGATTCCGGCTAGGGGAGGGGACCAGGAAAGGCTCGAGGCAAGGACTTGGGTGGCCCACATACAGTGCACCTTAAAGGGGTAAGAAGCAAGTGCAAAGATGAGCCTCCAACCATCTCCTGTGTCTCCCGGTGCACACTCTGAAGGACCTGGCCAGACGTGTGGCTGCTCCCTGGTTTATGTCTGCAGCTGCTGCTCCTCTGAGGTATGCATGCGTGGGCGCAGGGTTGCTATTTAAAGTTCTGACAGGGCGGGTGACCAGAAAGGGACATGGCCCTCTTCCCGCCATCCGTGAGTCCCCTGCAACCTGATCGCACCCTTGGGCACAGGAGAAACGCGGGCCAAACACCCAGACCAGAAAAGAGTCAGTCCCTTTAGAAAGCCCTAGGAGTGTCTGTCTTGCTCACGGATGCCTCCCAGCTCCCGGCACAGAGCCTGGCACAACCAAGCACCCACTGAATATGTTTCCTGGAGGGACAGGCACAGGGATGGATGAATGACCGAGTATATTCTGAGCAGAATGAATTAGATTTCCTGGCCGGGAAGTCTACACTGAGCCCTAAAGGACGAGTGACAGTGGGGGGCCCTGAAGGAGAGGGGGAAGGCTTCATGCCAGAAACAGCACAGTCAAGCCCTGGAGGCAAGAGCAGGTGAGAACATCAGGGAGGCCGCCCAGATTCTTTAGTGCTCGGTGCAGACACCCCAGGTCGCCAAGACCATGGGACTCCAAGTTGCCAGGAAGGAACGAGAAGAGGAGAAGGTGGAAGGGCCGAGGCCTTAGCAGCTAGCCGAGCTCTCCGCTAACCACTGCTGCTCCTCCACCTCAGACGGCCCCCCCTCCCACAACCGGGCGGCTGGGCCAGGGCTGCCACTAAAAGATGAGGCCATGTCCTCCAGGGGGAAGGGAAGTCTAATGACTGACAGGGAGCTGGAGCCAAATATTCCCTTCAAGACCGGTTTAGTGAGGAGCGAGGCCAGGTTCCCAGGTGTACCTTTGCATAAGGATAATCAACTCTCCCAGCGGCCCTCGGGATCACAGCCACTAGAAGAGGCGGACATGGGGGGTGCTCAGCACTGGTCACATTCAGAGGCACAGAGACAGGCCCTCAAATCACCCAGGCCTAGGTTTCCACGATCGGTCATCCTCACGCCAACCCGATGAAGTCTGCGTCCCCACTTCTCCCCCTCACCTAGATGGCCTGTGCTCCTCCCGCAGGCAGGATCCTGGCCTCAAACACCATGGCCCCAGGGAAGGGAGAGCACAGAAAGGACTTTCCACCCTGAAATATTCAGCAGGTCCTGCTGCCAGCTGGTGAGCGGCCTGGGCCCTGGGGCTCTGAGGTCTTGGGACCCATCCCAGCTGTTGCGGGAGTGGAAGCCTGTGGCCTCTCCTGAGAGCCGGCTGCCAGGCCAGGACGCCTCCTCAGAGCTGCTGTGACCACACCTGACCGGGGCCTCATCTCCGCAGTGGCTGGAGTTCCGGGCACCAGAGCCTGCCCCTTTGCCCGGTCCCCAGTGTTCTCATGCCCCCAGCAAGTTCCACCCCAGACCATCCCTGTGGCATGAACGCCGCAGAGCCATGCGTCTGGGACCTTTCCGACCCCACACTATTTCGTCACAACCTTGGGTCCCCAGTTCCTTTCTTCTAGAAGGAAAGACAGGGAGAAGAGCACCATTAATACAGCAGAACTAACTGGGGGGTGATCTGGAGCAGAGAAAAGAGTGAGTGGCTTATTCTCTGCATGTGTGAATGGGGGGGTGCTTTGGGAAAGGGGCGCACAAGATGCAGAACTGGGGTGTCCATAATTGGAAGCAACAGATACCAACTTCAGCTCAAGAACGGAAGGAAGACCTTGCTCAGACTCCCTGGCTTTGTTTCTGCAACCTTCTCCCTTGCCCAAACCCTTGTACTCCCAGCGTGCCAAATTACCTTTGTTGCCTTCCCCCACAACACACCCTCTCCTCTCTGGCCTTCTGTTCCTGCATCCCCTCCCCCTGGAGCACATCAGCTCCCTATTCTCCCCCAGTAGCTCTCTCCAGGCCCTTTACCCTGTTTCCTCCACCCGCGTGCCCACAGAACACACTTACAGCTTCCGCAAGGGCACGAGTGCTGTGTGTGCAGGATTCCAGCTCATCTCATGGGATGAGGAAACCCCAAGGCCCTGCCACCATGGGACACTTGCTTACAGACTGTCTGCAGGCCCCTGGTCTGTGGCAACAAGAAACCACGGCTCAGCCAGGCCTGAGTATGGCCGGGAGCACTGGAGCAGGATTGCAAAGATCCACACCCTGGGTCCTGGCCCCTCTGCTCTCCCAGGATCTGCTCTGTCCACTCAGGTCTTGCAGAACCTTGCACTTTGAAGGCCTCCCAGGAAGTAGCTGCGGTATGACTACATACAGAAAATGGGGAACAGCAAGCTATGCCTTGGACCTTCGCCCGTAACCACTAACACTTTCTCCTCCCGGTCAGAGAGGCCACTTGTGCAAAGGACGCTCCTCAGAGGGTGATAGGGAGGCCCCAGCGGGGACTCTTGAGTACCAATCCTGCGTCACGTGAGACACTGTGCTCTTCAAAAATTGTGAATCGATATCCTTAAGGCCCTTGTTCACTGGGTGACGAGTCATGAAAACTGAGGCCCAGAGAGGGTAAAGAACTCTCCCAAGATCACACAGTATTTCTATTATGTCCATGGCCAGTAGCTCTGTGACTGAAGCGAGGAGTAAAAGGGGCCTAGTCAGGCGTCCCTTGGTTTCATTCTCCCTTCGCCATCCCAGCATTATAGCAGCCGGATCGCCTTTTCTAATGCAAGCCAACAGGGGTCAGTCTCGGGTGAAGCCTGGCACAGAAGGACACCCAGCTCTGCGCAAGGACAGAACCTGATCCTGGCCACACCCAAAAGTAAAAGCTCCGTCACACCTCCATTTCTACTGCCTAGCAAAGTGGTCCTGCAGCATGAAAGACGGGGGTGTCCGAAGCAGGGAAACTTAATCCCAGATACATGTGACAAGAGACACCTCCAGCTCCAAAGCAGAGAGAACCCTCTCACGCTGGGGAACCACTTCTGGGCCATGCAGTTTGGGTAGGACCAACTCTACCGCCTAAATCCAGGTCACCACCAGCCAATGAGAACAAAACCTAGGACTTGCCCTGGAATCACTGGGAATAAATTATATTGTTTCCTCCATATGCCCAGGAAGCAGAATGGAAGCCTAGGGCAGCTGGTGGCTGGGGTCCCAATCAGGAAAGGACCACCCACAAAGGAAGCCACCCAGAGGAAGTTCAATTCACAGAGGCAGAACCCTGACAATATCAACTGGGTCCCTGGAGCCAGCCCAACCTGAAGCCCTGGGCTGTCAGTCATGTAAGCCAGTACACATCTCTTCTGCTTAGGATGTTGTGTGTGGTCACTGGGCACTTGCAACGGAAAAGGGTGTGACTTGTAACCGGAGGAAGCAAAGCCTAAGAACCTGTCCTGCTCCTTTCTAGAGGAAGGTACCAGAGATCTGCAGAGCAGACCTAGGGACTCCAAGAGCCCAGGAAAGGCAGACCACAGCCTCCAGGAGGGGAGATGCTCCTTACCTGTGCTGGTTTGGCCATGGTCTCAGGTTCTGCAGCAGGGAACACTGTGGGGAAGAAAGAGACCCATGAGATCTGGTTCCCTCCGTGATTTCCCCCAATTTTCTTACCCTTCTTACCTCCCAAGGGAAGCTATGCTCCCCCTGCTGCTTTCCAGCTGCCCCCAGCCCTTTAGGTTAAATTACACCCAAACCTGCCTTGGGGCTAGATGCATTTTTCTGAAGACAATGGAGAGACTGGCCTGGTCCAGACACTCACACCATTATGGGAGAGGGACTGGGAACTGAGAGGGAGACAGGGCATGGCCACTGAGCACATAACTCTTCCAGGCCATGCAGGGCACTTTCCCACACGTCCCACTTAATCCTCACGGTGATCTTTCCCAGCATCAGATTTCCCCTTTCCCTAGAGGAGGAAATGGAGGATGGGAAGTCAGGGAAGTTGTGCATTTACCCAAAGTCACACAGCTTAAAACTGAATTCAACAAAGTGCAGATACCAGAGTCCAAGCTATCTGCACCACACATGCTCTATGCTTAAGTCACCAAGAAGGGTTCCAGAAGCCTGGGCTTAACTTTCTGCAGACGAGAATGCTCCCCTTCTAAGGGCTCTGGGCCACCTGCTGCAAATATCTGAAGGACTAGCTTTCCGGTTCCGGGTAAGTCAGTGCGCATTTCCTGAGCATCTGCTCTGATTAGGCACTGCTCTGGCACTGAGGTAGAGCGATCAATAAAAGAGATTTTTAAAACCCTGCTTTTCTGCAGCTTACTCTATAATGGGCAAGAATAATAAATACAAATGGCAAAAAGTAAGGGAAAAAGATAACGCTTGGTCAGAAGAGAGTGACAAGGAGTAGCAGCCTAGGCCAAGTGGTCAGAGGATCACGAACCACGTGGCTACCTGGCAGGCGGGTGTGGTACGTGGCTACCTGGGGTGGGGGTGTGGTCAAGGGACTCAGGATAGCTAGTGGGGCAGCAGGGAATGGGGGCATGGGACCAGTGCCTGAGGCCATGGTAAAGGCTTTGGATTCTTCCCTGTAAGGACAAACAGGAGATATGATCTTTCAAAGGGGATGTAGGAGGGACGCTTGGGTGGCTCAGTCGTTAAGCATCTGTCTTCAGCTCAGGTAATGATCCTGGGTTGTGGGATCGAGTCCCACTTCAGGCTCCCTGCTCAGCGGGAAGCCTGCTTTCCCTCTCCTTATCTCCCTGCTTGTGTTTCCTCTCTCACCGTGTCTCTCTCTGTCAAATAAATAAAATCTTAAAAAAAAAAAGGGTGGGGTGTGTGGGAGACAGGGTCTAGAGGGAAGAAATAAACAAGTGTCTTACACCTAAAAATAAATGGAGAAAGGGCTGTCACTGGCTTGGAGATGGGAAGAGAAGGGGCCCAGACGGATGAGCACTCCCAGCAGGAAGGCAAAGGTGCAAGTGAAGCCATTCCCCCGAGACAAGAGGAGAAAGATGGGCCAGTCCTTTCCATTTCAGTTGGGACTGTACCATTTGATCTTTTTAAACCATGTCTGTGTATTACTTTTTAAAAGTGAGAATAATGAACTCTATACAGCTTATTCAGTAAGACCCACAAAGTGTTGAACTAGAAGAAAACCAGGGTGGCATTTCAGCTCAGTGCTTTCCATTCCCCACATATCCCACTACCAAAAAACAAAAAACAAAAACAACGGCTTGGGGGAACTTGGCCCTTCTTGACCTCAGCCCATAATCCTGCTGGGGACGGTCCGACACAGTAGGGAGAAGACAGGTTTTGGAGTCAGATGGACAGAACTAGATTCAAATACATTTTGTTACTTATTAGCTTCATGACCTTGAACACATTGCTCATCTCTGAGTTCAAGGTCACCTCATGGACAAAATTGGGGCGTTCCCTTTCCTGCCTTGTAGGGCTGTTGGAGGATGAGACATTAACTTATGCTAAGGGCAGAGCCCAGGACACTAGGCATTCACTGTATTGGTAGGAAGTTCTGACCCGGCTTTGTCGCGTTTGCCCGTAGCCCCAGTGCCTGATGGTGAGTCCCCATATCGCGGTCAGCAGACAGACAGGAGGTGGGGCTGAGGAGGAACAGCAGAGGACAGAGATCTGCCTGCAACCCCAGCAGAGCTGGAGGAAACACTGCTATTTCCCTGACAACCAGGGGCCCCTCTGTACAAATGTGCAACTCTCACCAGAAAGTGGAAACTCCCCCTGCAGGGGATGGGGAACCACATCTACCCCAGGGTCTGGCCAGGAGCCAGCTCCGGCTTTCCCTGCCTGGGGCACGGTGTGGGCAGGGGGTGAGGGACCCCCAAGTCTAGCATAGCAACAGGGACCAAAGGAGGCCCAGGAACTCCCATGGGCAGGGAGGGCTGAGGCCTGTCTCCTGCACCTCCACACTGGAAGCGTTTTCCTTTGGCCTTGTTGCTGGAAACTTTAGCTGCTGGCTGCAGCCCAGGTCCATCTGGACAAGAGCCCCTTTCCAAGGAGAGACAGCTTGGAGGAAGAGCCTCTGAGTCTTTGGGAAAATATTCTCAGCTCAGAGAGCAGTTTATATGTGCTTCATGTAAGTACAGTCTTGTGTATACACAGAAAGCAAGCTTCTCCCAGAACTAGATGTGGACACTGCAGTTTAGGGGTGTGGGGGGAGGGAGGGGGACTTCTGTAGGCTCCGTGGACTCGGGAAAACTCTGGAACTAATCATAGCGGTGCTGTTTACCTGGCTTAACAAGGGTCTCTGCTCTCTCCCAGAGCAATCCAGACCCTACCTCTCAAACTGGCTGAATAAACGTTTAATGTACCATGTTTCAGAATCCCAAGGTCTCTTAAGCATCCACTACTACATCAGGCCCCTCACTTTCTGGGTGAGGTAAAGATATCTCAGGGAGGGTAAGTGACTTGCCAAGGCCCAGACCATGGCCAGTATCTATGCCTCCGAGCCCCAGGTCCAAAGACCCCACATAGCCATGGACATTGGCTGCAACAGGAAGGGCATTAGGGAGAGGCCAAAGAAAAAGACCTAGGTCTGGTTCCCAATCTGTCTGTAACTTCAGACAAGTCAGGTTCTCTCTCTGGACCTCAGTTTCTTCATCTATAAAATGGGGATAATATCACTATTGCTTCGGGCAAATCCAGAGTGGATGAGAAAGGCTTTTACAGATTCCAACTACGGATTTTCACAGCAGAATCTCAGGTATCAGTCCTAGGAGGGTTCTTTCCCAAACCTCCCCCCTATCCAATATGCAAGTTTTATCATCCTGGCTGAAATAGCTTCTCAAGACTGGCAGGTATGGCCACTCTAAACCTGTGCCTCTCTCTTCCAAGGAACCCTGAACCTCTTCTGACCTGCCTATCCAGGAGGGCTCATCATGGCTGATCATTCCAGAAATCCATTTTGGGGTAGAGTCTCCTAGCTTTATGCTACCATGGCCTGCCCCTGCCTTAGCCCTTTAGCCCACAAGCAATCATGTTTCCTTCCTTCCCCTTTGGGAGCTCCAGACTGATCCCAGGAGGAAAGCTCTGGGGGAGAGAAAACACCAGAGCTGGCAGGACATGTGGCTTGCCGCTGGCCAAGTGCAAGATATGGGGAAACCTGGGTAGCTCAGTCGTTCAGTATCTGTGCTTCAGCCTAGGCCGTGATCCCAAGGTCCTGGGATCGAGTCCCACATTGGGCTCCCTGCTTGGCGGGAGGTCTGCTTCTTTCTCCTCTCACTCCCCCTGCTTGTGTTCCCCCTTTCACTGTCTCTCTCTGTCAAATAAATAAATGAAATCTTAAAAAACAAAAACAAAAAAACCCCACTCCCTTGTCTTTTTTTTTTTTTTTTTTT